TAATATTAAGTTATTTTGCACGAATTTTCTATTTATATGTACATATGGTACACTGGCTCAAGATATAGAAGTATTCAATATATTTTCCACGAGGAATTATAATAAAAATTGCATATATACGTATAACTAAAATATTCGTGCAAAATAATTTGATATTAAAATACTATTATTTAAGTGTTTGCCTAACCTACCATTTAAATGACTCCACGTATCTACCGACTGGAAGTCTGGCCCCTAGTTAGAAAAAAAATAATTTTGATTAAATTCGCTATAACTAAAGAACGGTTTGACCGATTTCAATGTTCTATATCTCAAACGAAAGCTTGCGTCTGGCTGAATAATTATGTGTAAAGCCTATTAAACACTTCCATATCTGAAGCTGCTAGTTTTCCATATGTATATGTAAATAGAATAATCATGCAAAATAATTTGATATTAAAATACTATTATTTAAGTGTTTGGCTAACCTATCCTTTGATATGGTCTCCCCCGCTGATAGAATGAGAGTCATTCAGCTTGCGCATACTACATATCAATCCTATTATACCACGTGGAAAATAACCATGATGCTCTGATCTCAATGAGAGTTAGTACTTTCATGGAGGCATTGTCGTTAGTGAGGCTTACAAACCCTCCAGCATGCCTATGAAGTGGGTATATCTGCATCATGATTATTTTCCACGTGGAATAATAGGATTGATATGTAGTATGCGCAAGCCGAATGACTCTCATTCTGTCAGCGGAAGGAGTCGATATCAAAGGATAGGTTCGGCAAACACTTAAATAATACTATTTTAATATTAAATAATTTTGCACGAATGTTCTATTCATATGTACATATGGTACACTAGCTCAAGATATGGAAGTATTCAATATATTTTCCACAAGGAATAATATTTTTAATATTTTAATAATAATATTTTATTTCTCCATTTTACAAAAAAGCATAGAGTGCGTCAATTTAACAATAATTACATTGTGATATAATACAAATTGAATTCAAACATTAAATTGGAAAAACATGTCAATGGTATATATCGGATTTTCCGTGACAATAGCTTTCAGTCTCCTCCGGAATCTTGGAACTGGCAGATTCTTTAAACATGATTCTTCTCTCGTTTGTGCCCATAGTTTAAGCTAGATTTACGCTAAGTTTTCTTTATTTATTCTCGTTTTCCTCACCATTACCGCTAATAAGAATTTTTTATTTTTATTTTAGTACCTAAATTAGTTTATGTAAGTAGTCGTTATTAGAGTATATGCGATAAGATAATTTATAATAATTAGTATTGTAGCGTCTATGTTCGAATATATGCCTTAAATATTGTATTTTTTCTTTAATTTATTTAAATAGATTATATTTATTTATTTCTTTCATAATTTGTTTCAATAGTTGATCCCACGGTTAGGCACGGAGGCCCTAGCGTTTGCTTTACATAACTTTTATTTTATTTAATTTTTTTTCTTTAATACATGCGTGCGCCAATTCACGCCATCAAATCACTAAACAAAATACACTAAAGGACATTTCCACATTTAAAGATTGTTATTATTTCCTTTTCAGTAAAATGTTTATTAGTCCTACTTCATTTTGGTGCGTTTTTAAGATTCTTTCTAAGGAGAATTTTAAATAGTAACGATTGTATTGTGATGTTTTACTTGTGTGTTTTTACACAAGTTATTAAATTATAAATTTGGGTTTCTTTAATTTTAAGAGACTCTTGCTAAAAACTCAGGGTTTCGGGCAAGTTCAGGTTCAAAAGAATATTAATCAGGTTCGACTAAAAATTCATTTAATTAACACAAAAGAGAGAGAGTAGGATAAAACTTGTTAGAACCGTTCTTTGAAAATAACAAATGGCCAATGTCTTAAGTTGTCATCAAACTCGTTGAAAAAAAAATAGAATTTAAAAAATGAACGTTATTCAAGAAAACTAATAAATCTTTACCCACAAGTAAGTATTCATCAAAATTATAGGAAACTCTTGTGAGTTGTTCTTTGAGTTTGATTCTTTGATTTTTCTTTTTGTAGGTTATGTTAAATAATAAAATAAAATTATNTAAGATAATTTATAATAATTAGTATTGTAGCGTCTATGTTCGAATATATGCCTTAAATATTGTATTTTTTCTTTAATTTATTTAAATAGATTATATTTATTTATTTCTTTCATAATTTGTTTCAATAGTAGATCCCACGGTTAGGCACGGAGGCCCTAGCGTTTGCTTTACATAACTTTTATTTCATTTAATTTTTTTTTCTTTAATACATGCGTGCGCCAATTCACGCCATCAAATCACTAAACAAAATACACTAAAGGACATTTCCACATTTAAAGATTGTTATTATTTCCTTTTCAGTAAAATGTTTATTAGTCCTACTTCATTTTGGTGCGTTTTTAAGATTCTTTCTAAGGAGAATTTTAAATAGTAACGATTGTATTGTGATGTTTTACTTGTGTGTTTTTACACAAGTTATTAAATTATAAATTTGGGTTTCTTTAATTTTAAGAGACTCTTGTTAAAAACTCAGGGTTTCGGGCAAGTTCAGGTTCAAAAGAATATTAATCAGGTTCGACAAAAAATTCATTTAATTAACACAAAATCAAATTAACTCGTTTTATGAGTAACAAAAAAAATGGTTTCTCTAAATTTACTTTAATAACAATGCTCATTTACGAGAGATAAATTTTTAAATAAAATTGATAACTGCGGTTATCGACTGAAATATCGATATTAGAGAGAACCCGTTTATTATTTGAGAGAGAGTAGGATAAAACTCGTTAGAACCGTTCTTTGAAAATAACAAACGGCCGATGTCTTAAGTTGTCATCAAACTCGTTGAAAAAAAAATAGAATTTAATAAATGAACGTTATTCAAGAAAACTAATAAATCTTTTCCCACAAGTAAGTATTGATCAAAATTATAGGAAACTCTTGTGAGTTGTTCTTTGAGTTTGATTCTTTGATTTTTCTTTTTGTAGGTTATGTTAAATAATAAAATAAAATTATCATCCGACTCACTGTGATGTTGAAAGGATTGGAGTTCAATGAGGTATCTGGATTCTCTTGTGTTCGGGGCACTAACTAATTTTCTGGATTGTCTACAGGATTCTTCTTCGGAAACAGGGTCTTGGATGATCTCGAAGAAGTATCGGTAGTTCTCGGAATAGGTTGTAGGATGATTCTTTTTTATTTTAATATCGTAAGTTGATTTGACTTTTTAAAACAATTATCTTAAATTTTTGAGGTTATCTCTTGAGATTCAAAATTTCTTCTATCTGACGACGTGAATTCGACGCTGGTCCGACGACGACTCTTTCACTCCCGGTTCGCGATCTCCTTATATACCCCGGCACTCCAACTGTTTTTTCCTCGTTTCTGATTGGCTCTTAGCTTCGCGCTCTTTTCAAAATTCAAAATTCTTGCTTCGAAACTAGCGCCATCTCTTGATTTTTCTCGGAATTAACCTTCAAAATTTAATTCTTTTTTCGTTGATTTCTCCCTTATTCCTTTATGAAACGTAATAAAACTTCGTATTCAACGTTGTCTTTTCTTGTTTTTAGACATACATTGGAGTACACGCCAAATTTCAACAATGAGTAAAGTTAGAAAAATTCAAATTTAAATCAAGGATTTCTTCCTCAAAAGATGGATGAAAAATGTGCTTTAGGAGCTGAACTACAATAATTGATACATTTGAAAGTAAACAAAACGGTTTAAGATAAGATTTTCACCAACAAAAAATCTCTCTGTCACAAATTCTAGGTTATGTTCTCTCGGTGAACTAAGAGAATGTTAAAATTATCACAGTATCTAAGTAACACCAATGAACTTTATGTATTAATTGTTAGCTATCGACCCTTAAACATTAAACCCTTGAGCAAAGTGAAAGCATTTTATTCCTCGGTTAATGAGAGAGATGAAGAAAACTTTTTCAGATAGTCTCTTTTCTTATTATGACTCTATCTCACTTATCTACATTTATTCTCTTTTTGAGAATAAACAGTGCGTGATGCAACCCAACATATACAGTTGCCGATTTTATACATATGGTTAGCAATCTGGAGTAGTATAATCAATGATAAAATTATAGCATTTTCAACTCGAATTGTAGGTTACTGTACATTTCTCTATTAGTTACATGATTCGCCGCTAGATGGCGCTAAAGTACTTAAATTTAAACTGTAATATTTTATTATATCACTTTTATTTATACAAACGTAGTGTAACCTATTTTACTTGAATCCTATGCCTACATGTAACACATATTATTAAAATTGAGTGATTTTTAAACAAATTTCAACATCTCACGATTTTTTATGACATAGCTCACGACATTCTCTGTGTGTAACATGGCAACCCTGCTCTCAACTTTCTTTTCCTTGATTTTGAAACCGAGATTAAAGAAGATCTAACCTTAATTAGTCAAAAGATCTACAATTCCATCTCATAAATTATTTAGCGGTTTCTGCTTAATTAATCAAAAGATCGAAACCTCACCTAATAGAGCCGAATATATAATATTAATCACTGAACCTCGTTGTGTTATTTCTACTTTCAGTTCAATAAAGACAGACAACAATCTAGAGCTGAATATGAATTAAAACTAGAACTAACACAAGACCTAGAACTAGAAAGTTTCGGGTTTACTTTTACACTAGCATTATTGATATGTCGAACTAACACTATACCTAGAACTAGAATCATTTGGGTTTTAGCCGCACGTCTCTAAAGACGGCTAAACCCGAATGATTCTAGTTCTTGGTCTAGCGCTGCACAACAATTAAAACTAGAACTAACGCTAGACCTAGAAGTAGAAAGTTTCTAGGTCTAGTGTTAGTTCTCTTTCTTTTAGTTCTAGGTCTAGTGTTAGTTCTAGTTTTAGTTCAATAATAATATACAATCTAGCGCTATCTAGTGCTAGCACTGTCACTAAAACTAACACTTCACCTAAAACTAGAAACATTTAGGTTCTACTTTTAATTCAATAAAGATATACAACAATCTAGCATGAATACACCTAGAATGTTTTGGGTTCCACAGGCTTTTATTTACCTGTTCAAAACTATTCATTTGCTTAATTTTAGAAATTTTAAGTTTTTAAACCAATGCAACATCTTTCTAATATAATAATCAAGGATATGCCCATGATCAACCCTTTTGGAAAACTTATCAAAATCAGGATGTTTTTTCACAAGACAATAAAAATAACAAATTTCTATAACAAGAGCAATCACGCTAACGAAATAGCCAACAAAAAGAGCTACGATGGCTCCTATAAATTTCCGCATACTCATCAATGCTTTCGTATTCTCAGTGGACGCGGACGATGGAAGTTCTGCGTTCAACGTCGGCTGCATGACATCATCGAGCCACTTTTTGATGAACCCCGCTTCGAGTACTCTCCTTATGTACTTATCTACGCGCGGCTTGATTGGAGAATTCTTTTGCAAGCCGATCGAGATCGGCATATTTATGACGCAATCTCTCATTATATGCAAATTACGATCGTTTCGCTCTTCGTCATCTCCGCTACTATTCCCACTTGAAAAAGGCGATTGTTTGCTATGCCTCGAGATTGAAATTTCTTTTAAATAATGGACGTTTTCGTAGAAAGCGAATTTTCCTTCTATCACTCGACCGATTGCTTCGTGAGAATTATTTACCTCTTCGTATTTAAAACCGATTAATTGAGCGGCTGGATCTAATGATGTCGTAAAAAATTCGCGGTTTATTTCACCCCAACCACCTAAAGAAAGTTTCGAATCAGCTAACTCTTCTAATGTGTCAATGGTAACTCTAAAAATTGATTTAAAAGTTTTAATTTAGTTTGAAATTATTTTTGTTACCGTGGGACTGGATTAGCTAAAATAGCTGTCATGCTAGCTCTATAACTGACAACGACCAAAGTGCAATAAATCCAATACCATCCAGTTAATAATCTTAATGACCAACCCGTTGGTAATTTTGGTAGTGATACCATTAATAACATACTGCAAGTGTAAAGCATGCTGTTAAAAAATTCAGCGAATAAATATAATCCAACTGGATCATCTTCGCGTTTTTTTGCAGTGAATTGTTCCATCATCATTATATATTTTGAATGAGGATCTAATTGATCGATTGTTCCAAGGGGTAATGTTAAAACTTGTTTCTTTTTGATCAAAGTTCTCAAAGATTTTGGTCGATTTCTTTTCGGCGCGGTTACTTCCCAATGGAATAAAGCTAAATAATGCATTATTATTCCTATTCCAAATAAACAAACCATTACACATAACCACATAGAAGGCCTAAAAACAAAAAATTAACAAAACAAATTTATTTAAACGTATACATACTGAAATGGTAAAATAAGAGTTTTCCAAGAATTATCAGTCAGAGATTCCGGGGTTAAAAAGGTTAAACATTCCGTGTTATAAGGTACCGTTAAATCCATTAAATTTAAAATAAACGAGATATAGTATAAATCCCCCAAAGCAAAGTCAGCTTTACTTTTAACCATTTCACCTATAAGACCGGAATATTGTCCACCAGCTAATTTTTTGCCCCAAAAATGTGAGTTTACCCCGGGTAGTTCGTAAACGTCACATTTAAAATTCATTTGCTTCGATACTGCGTCCAAAATCTACAAAAAAGATGATAATTTATTGCTTAAATATTAAATAAAATTGAGTATGTATAACTTCAACTTCCAATCCTGCAAAACCGATCGGTTTTTCCCCTAAAATACTTCTAACGGTATTCTCCTCCGGGAATGGAAGTTTTATCGTTGCCGGTGTGTGTTTAAAAGCAATAACTTTTAATGTTTGATTGTTTAAATCGCGGGTTTTATCTCTAAATAAATCAACACCTAAAATTAATTTGATTAAATTAAATTAAACATCGTTCAAAAAAAAAAGAATATACCAAATCTAAATTTCGAATTGGTCCAAATATCTAATCTTCTTGGAACGAAAACGTTTTGAATTGGTGAAGGAAAAGGAACCGTGCTTATTTCAAACCAAGGTAAACCACGAGTATTAGTTCCTAATTTTTTACTCCCGCCGTATTCTCGTATAAAAATTACATTAACAATTCGTTTCCATAAATAATGAATATCTTTATGAAATAATCTGTTATCGTATAACATAATAAACTTTGCTCTTGTATCTAATACTCGATACCTAAACATAAAATTATTACTACTAGTTATGCAAAAAATAGCGTAACAATAAATCAATAAGTTATAATCAAAGATTATGGTATAAAATAAGACGAGGTGCTACAATGACATGATTAATTTCGGGTTGATTATAGAATCAACAAATTTGCAATGTCATTTTTATCCATCAATACCGTCCTATGAGTTTTTGCTTTCCGCCAGCAATATGAAATATGTACTCGAATACTTTTGTTGGCTACTGTATATGATACGCACTTCGTGAAATTTTATCGAAATTTAAGCGTATCTAACCTTCCCCGGCGAAGATAGATTTTACTAAGCTGTAGATATAATTTGGTTACGAGAATTAACATTGTAACGTGTGTCTATTAGTTCAAAAGTTAATTATCTAAAGTTTGGAGCAAGATCCATTTAACATTTCCGAATTATAACGCGTCGCATAAATTAGTAACTTTGTTAGCAAGATTTATACTATGACTTTGTCTTTGTAAATGAAAGGGTAGAGTGAATTTTTAATTAACCTGTCGCCAAACTGTAGTAATCTCGATGTTTGAAGACCGTTTGAAATTAAAATAATATAAATTTGACATCCGTGGGCTTTTGCCATTATTAAAGCTTCTTTAGTTGATTGATAAGGTGATAATAAATCTTCAGATTCTTTTATGAAAACCTTAAAAAAAATGTTAAATAAAACTTTAATATTAAGGATTACTTACCATAAAAAATGATATATAAACGCCAAATTTTTTGTATAAAACATGTTGAAAAATATTATAATAAATTTCATCTGTTACAACAACCATGCATTTATAAAGTTGTAAAGAATTTAATAAAACGTCGGATAATAAATTCGTAATGACGGCTTCCGGTTCTAAATTGGTAATTTTTAGTCTGTCGCTGTAAATTATTAAAGTTATAGAACTAAAATGTTGATTGGGTTAATTAATTAAATGAAATTAAATCGTACTTTGCACAAATTCCAAAGTTACAAATGAGCAATAGCGAAGTTAGCAACGATATCAGTAGTTTAGAAGACATTTTCGGTTAGTTAGTTTCTTCGATAAGCAGAGTTTCCAAGTTCTCGTTGAATGAGGTGTTTTATATGTAAATTGAACGTACATATTTAACGAACGTTTCTTTACCTAAATTAACCGTAAGTAATTATACAGGTGATTTTTAAAAAACTATGTAATTGGATATGTACTAAATTGAGTCCACAATGATAATAATAATAAGCCAAAAAAAAACCTTTTACAACATATCAAATTAATATATAAATAAATTGTATAATAACGAAATTAAAGATATTATTCTACACAGAAGATTTTCTCAAAAAATTCTTGAATGGTATAGAACGCGTTTTGGCAAAGGTGGTTCTTTACAGCATTCTTCATTCTTGCAAAGGGTAGATCTCGTATCGACGCAGGTAGATGGTAAAAAATTTGATGCCCCAATAGTTGGCATTGTTTTGGGTTTTAGACAAACGATGTGTGGGGATACGCAGTTCGTTTTTATTTCTAGTGTGATAGTTATGGAAATCACAGTTTTTTGGCAGAAGGTATAATTTCTGGTGAACGTTCTTTATACAGTTGAATATATGTAATGATATTATATGTAATTCTCTGCTTCCCAGGTTGAATAATGCCCTTATCGCTCGTTTCTGAAGTGTAAATGCTCTTTCGGTTGCCGAAGAAGCTCCCCAGAAGAGGATACCGTAGGAGATCAAGCTATGGAAGTTGGCATAATAGATGAGTTTTGCAGCTTCTAAGGTACTAATACTACGAATGCAGAAGATCGCGCCATTAATTTTTTTGGACAGATGTTCAATATGTATTGATCACTTTAGTTCTTCGTCCTCAAGATCCACACTCACTAGTTCCACAAATTTCCTTTGATCAAGTGCCTTCAAGATATCTCGAATTGTATCATCTAATGCAGTATTTACGGATCTACCTTTGCGGTATCCATGTTGGTAGTTAGTGAAAAATTTGTTTTTCTCAAAGAAATTCGAGATTCTATCTGCAATCAAATATTCTAGTAGTTTTGAAATTGTAGGCCATATTGAGATAGGTCTGAAATTTTCTGGTTTGTCTTTTTATATACAGGAACCATTTCAGCGACTTTTAATTCCTCAGGGAATATTCCATGTTTGAGGCACATGTTAAAAATGTACACATAAGCTTGATATAGATTTTTTTAAGAAGGCTATAGACATTCCATATATGTCCTCACTGTTTTTTGGTGCAAATTTCTTTACTATCGACATAATTTCTATAGTATCGGTGGGTCGTAGAAAACATGACGGATTGTTTTGTATTGATAGAGTTTTCATATACACTGTTGGAAATAATTCACGAGCACACCCTGTATAATCTGAACGCGTGTGTCTAGCGCAATAAAATTTGGTATGGAAGTAGTACTAAAGTAGTGTAACTTACTCTCACATGGAGAACGGCACAACTCTGCTGGGAGAAGAAACATCAATAGCGAGAGTATCCCTGTGAGCTTCGCGTACCATCTCTACACGACGTGGCATGGAGTCTATAAGTCGCTATATATGTCCCAAACATGTTCAATGGGATTCAGACGCGGAAACCGAGCTAGCCATGGAAGCATTCGTATACGGTGCTCTTCCACAAAGGTCTATACAACACGCCCGATGTGCTGTCGTACGTTGTCGTGCATGTATAGCAGGCCTAGGAGCCGCCGAACGTAGGGAAGCACAACGGACCGTAGCACCTCATCGACGTATCGTTGACCCGTCATGGTCTGCTATACACGCAGCAGACGTGTACGTCCACCATATGTAATCGCACCCGATACCATAATGCTCGGTTGTCGGTGGATAGGGCGTTCTTGCACACACTGCTCGAGTAGACGATCATCACGGCTCCGACAAAATGTAATGTCCCTCAAAATGTCCCTCTACTCGGCAACCTACTAATGCCCAAGGTTTATATATTAAAGGTTGTCTAAGTTCCTATGCTGCAATACTTTGATTTTAGTTTGTGGGCGAAGGGCAAGAGCAGGAGTGTTTCGTGACGTAAGCGATCACGGATTGCGCACGCAACCTCATGGCCATGTGGTGCTCCATGCCTTTGTTTAATTTAAATTGCTTGGCGGTATTATTTTCCACATGTGACGTAATGCGCAGTATGATTGCGTACGAACCTAGACAACCTCTTATATATAAACCTTGACTCATGCCTAGCGTCAACCCACTCGTGACGTATGCTGCGGTGCTTGGGTGTTACTGCAATCCGCTGTATCGCACGACGCGCGCACCAGTCCACTATCTACCAAACGCTGCCGTACTGTTGACGTAGTGAGTGCGCCTTCCCCTGCCAGTGGCCAAACAGCTCCAAGTTGCCTTGAGGAGGACACATACCACGCTAAAGCACTGAGCACAAGAGCGCGATCCTCGTGTGATGGGGACGCGCAGGGGAGTCCCGGCCGCGGCTGAGGGTACCTATGTCCTACCTCTGACCATTCTCGCCATGCCCGTTGCACTGCCGATAACGACCGCTCGAGACGACGCGCAATTTCACAGAACGATACACCCTCAATGTGCATACCCACAAACATTCCGCGCCCAAACTCACTTAAGTAACGCGATCGCCCATCCATTGCGCACAGAGTAAGATAACAATGTGGTCCCTCACACCACACTAAAAACGACTGGTATTTTCCATCCACTTCGGTCTCCATAGCGACGGAATGTTCCACTTGGAAGGGTGACTCGGTCAACAATGCCGCGACGGAACAACTCGAAACTCCCTGCATAAACTCGTCTACAGTAAACCTTTGTACTCCGCAAATATTATGGATTTATCTTCACGCGTTCAGATTATATAGGGTGTGCTCGTGAATTATTTCCAACAGTGTAGTTTGAATGTATTCATTAAACTTTTCAGGTGTAACATCAATTTTGCTCTTCGTTTTCTTGTATACCTTTAATTCATTATTTATTAATTGCCATACCTTCTTTTGGTTGTTTGGTGCATTATAGATCTCATTTTCGTTTTGCAATTGCTTTTCACGTTTTATTTCGTTTCGTAATTCATTTTCTGTCTGTTTTTATACATTGCGCAAGAATACCTACTTAAAATTTCTATGGTGTTTATTCTTGTTGGTAAATATTAGTTGGAACGCATACTAGATTGCAATGTAATTTCTCTTTTAGGACAACATTTGTTAAAGACGGATATCAAATGACTAAAGTATTTCGAAAACAGCATAGTAGGTGAGATCCAATCATTTTCGTTAAAGCAGTATCGGGATATTTCTACATTAAAACGGTAAGTATTTCCATGATTCATGTTCCTACGTTTAATAACTTGTTTGCTTACAAGAATCTCCTTCGGCACAAACAGCTCTAATAATTGTGCATAACGGTCCGACAGATGAAGATTGGTCGTTTGTGAATAGTATTGATCTTTACTGCAATTTGTAATAATATTGTCAATACAAGAACGAGATGTTGATGTTACTCTCGAAGTTTCGAAAAATACACCGTGTAAATTAAAACTCTCAGAAATGTCTTGCAGTTGTACAACTTCATACTTTCCCATTGCTTGTACATTTATATTAAAATCTCTCGTAATAAATACTTTTTTATCTCTAATTTCTTCTTCTATGCTACGTAACATATCTTGTAATCTGTCAAAAAATATTTCAAGATTCCCTCCAGTTGAACGGTATATACTTATTAAAATAATTTTTCTTTTCAGGGATTCAATCGCAGAAATTTCTATATGTTTTTCTATTGATAGTGCCCTTAAATCTAGCCTTTCTTTAAAGCTTTCCGTTATTAAAGTAAGTTCAGTGGAAGTTAACCAGTTAAACAGCCATATTCTGCACAGTTGTAATGAAATGGTCTATTTTATTGTACAACCCCTGTATATTAATATTTAGTATTTTTATTGAAAATCTTATCTGTTTAGTTGGATTTTTATTTATCTTGTATAGGAACTTGTATGGGAAGAAATATGAGGTAATAAAAATAATTATATTTTTATTATTAAAATTATAAATTAAATTAATTAATTAATTTTCGTCAACAGTAAAGATAAAATTATGTATAAAAATAAAAACGTTAAATAACGTTATAACTCTAAATGTTTAATCGTTTCAAACTGATTACTTTCATCGATATTTTTAAACCATTCGTTATAAATCTGGTTTACATCAGTCATATATCTATGAAACGAAACAATTCCTGGTTGAGATTTAAGTAGATCTGGAGAGTAATCAATTGGTCTTGCCTTATAAATAAAAATTTTATTGTTTATCAATCTAGATATAAAAGGGGATTTACCTGGTGGAATAATGATGAATGAGTTATATCAATTCCAAGTAGTGCTAAACATATCCCCAAATACATATCGTCGGGTTGTGGTTGTTCCGGACAAGTACAAGCTCCTGGTTCTAAAAGTAGTTCAACTAATTTTTTGCTAAGCACCAAACCTCCACCCATCGTAATGTAGTTGTAGCCTTGAGATGAAAATGCTACGTTTAAACCGTATCTTTCACCGAGAGCTATGACGGATTGGTGATTGTAGCAGCTCAAAAGTTCTCGGAGACGATTTACACTAATTAAAAAAAATTATTAAAAATATCCTCTTGAAATGTAGTATAATTAACCCCACTTAATCTGTTGTAATCACCCACCTGAGTATAGTATCATCATCAACTATAACCAACCATCGCACATCTTGCAACTCTCTCATTTCCTCAGCGGCTCTTCGTATTATATCCGTAGTTTTTAGGCAAAGATCTTTTGGGTTTGAGGTACGCTGATCAATTGTGGGTATCGTTTTATCTGTAATTTAGAAAATTAATAATTCGACGAAGACATCGAAATAATGTAAAAAAAAATAAGACTTTTCTCGACGGTTCGAATTGAAAAGTTCTTTCTCACCTTCGGCGTCGCTGAAGAACCGTACGAGGGTCGCGTGCTTGCCCCAAGTGTTCTTGATCGCGGGGACGCGGTCGCCGTGAAATTTCAAACACGTCTTCACTGCGAAGTAGATACTTTTGTTGGGAACAGGGTCATCCTGAAAGTTTCTTAACAGTAAAAGACAAAAGTCGTAAAGTGTAAAAAAAAATTTTATCGACCATTTCCGATTAAATTTAGTAATCACACCCAAATTACTAGAAAGAAATACTTACGCATGTCGTGAAAGGTATAGGATAAGTGGCGCAATTTTCTGAATTTTCAATGCAAAATCGCTGGTCGTGACGCATTGCAACGCCTCTTCCCTCATCCCAAATGAAGAGGGCCAACTCATGAGAGGGATCTATACTAAAATCAGCTTTGCCTTTGGAATTCCGCAGCCTCTCGTTTAAACTGCAAAACCAAAACAAACGAACTCGTCGCGTTGCTTGCAGAATTTAATTTACCGAAACGACATTAGCATCTGCCGACGAACGTATTCTAAATTAATTTAAACGTCGAACTAAAAACGTGGTACCCTACATAAAACTTTCTAAACGAATACAAATTAGATATTTATAACTTAAAATCTAAATTCTTTAAAATAAAAAAAAATCCACCTTTAATCCATTATCATTTCCCAGCGGACTGAAAATTGTAACTGAAAACTTACCGTAGTAATAACTTCGTGGTGATGGCGAATCCCGCCGCAATATTGGGATACTTGAAATTTTCGAGATTGTCGTCGTTGAAGAAATAGTGGTGGATTATGGTCGGTTCGTGATCATATATAGAGTAGCCGACATACTCCTGTGAGAATTAAACTGGTACAGTGAGAAAAGAGATTATTTTAATTTTATTTACTTCCGTTTTATTGTAATCATTAAGTACTTGTATTAATTTGCTCAATTTTATGCGGGTTCGGTCTTCAGCAAATATTATCCAATGGTTTTTAGATCCATACAAATCCGTTAATATAGGAATTAAAGGGATAATTGTCCAATCTCCAACGTGAGGAAAATCTAAATGAGATAGGTGGATAATTGGTTTCGTATTCTGTAAGAAAATATATAAATAAATCAAAAAAATTTGTCTAAAATAAAAATGGGATTAAAATCGTTTATATTCCTTAACGTGATAAACAATCTAATTTTCGATTGCTAACGCAGTTATAATTCACTTAGGAGACGAGTGCAATTTCCGGTTTCGAAGCGAATGGTTCACTAGCCCTATCCACTTCGATTGCGAGGATACGTTTAAATTAGACGTTGTTTGGTTGGGACCAGTGCTCTGAGTAATTATACATGTACTATTACTGAACTAACGGACAGCACGATTAACTGCTATTCAAACTTAAACTGAACTCTGTCATCGAACAATAGATATATATTTTGGGCCAAAGTTTATAAAAAGAGTTATATAAAATTATAACCCCCTGTAATAATGAACTCCACTCGAAGCAAGTTAACGTCAAAACTTACCATTCCCGATAAGGCTTCCGCTTCTTTTATAAGTAGACGCGTAGAATCTTCGGCAAGTTTGCGATGATAGTCGTTCGGTTGGCTCAGAACGACGATCACCAGTTCGGAATCGTCTGCGGAAATGTAAAAATTTAGATTTCAGTCGGATATCATTGCCACTTCGGGTCGTATCCAAAAGAACGTTAATTCCCGATAAAATAAATTATGCAACACGTTTCGAGGGAGAAAGCAAATGGGACGATAGTCGCAGAAATTCCGACAAGCGCGCTCTTGTGCTGCCTGTCCCAGTTTAATTGCTGATAAATAATACACGGCCAATCCTTGCACGATTTACAGTAACTGTCGGCAGATGTAGCAACATTCTAATAAATTATTTTAATGAAACTAAGCAGAAAAGAGAAATATATTACAAATGTATATAAAATTTGATTAAGCTAATTAAACATTAATCATAAAATTCCGCCGTTTACAGCACATTCAGCCCTAAAAACCCAATTCGAATGGTAATCAACACTTAACCAGTCGTTAATCGACTCTGCGTTAAGTTTGCAATAGATCAAAAATTACTTTAATCGAACGTTCATTGATAAATAATATCTCATAATTGGAGCACAGGAAAAACAGGATTTTCGTTTTTATCTAAATAAATAAAATAGATAAATATATATAAATATTAAGAAACATGGGAAAAATTCAAGAATTTAAACGACGATTTTTTTTAATCAATGTGAAATTACCCAAAAAACACTAGATTAACTTCAGTTATAAAACTCCTATTATATGATAACTAACTTCAGGTTTAAAATGTCAACCTCAATTTTGACATATTTGTAATCTTCATTAAAAATCCTTTAAAATGAGTACAAACACGACATATTTATCTTCAATATTAATGAAGTTATGGTCAACTTCCGGTTAAGAATGTCAACGTCAATTTTGACATATTTGTAATCGTCGTGAAAAATCCTTTAAAATGAGTCCAAACATGATACGTTTAATTCCAATATTACTCGAGATATAAGCAATTTCCGATTTGAAATGTCAATGTCATTTTAACATATTCTTAATTTTTATAAAATGTCTTAATATTTGTCATAAAAACAAAAATATAATAAAAAAAAATACAAAATTAAGGTTGGTATTAATATTTAAAAATTAAATTGCTATCTTCATTGTTGCTAACTTCAGGTTTTATGTTTTTTTATTGTAACTTTTTTGCTTTTTGAGATAAGTGCGTCATCTTTGGAGTCATTTTAAAGGTTTTTTAATAAAGAGGACAAATATGTCAAAATTGACGTTTCAAACCGGAAGTGATTATATCTCCATTAATATTAAAGTTAAATATGTCGAGTTTGGACTCATTTTAAAGGATTATTTATGAAGTTAACAAATATGCCAAAATTAAAAGTGGGAAGTTCGAACTTTTTGTTTTTCTTGTTCATCTATTTTTTTCTATAGTAGAATTGACGAAATCGTATGATGCAAATCGGACTTGAAATCGTATAACGTGATCGGCGCTTAGCTTTATCCTTTAAAACAAATAATTTGAGTCTTTCGGTATTCTGCATTTTTTCTAAGATAAGTTACACCTTTTGCTACCAGACAGCATGAAAATCTCTAAAAACGATAAAATATCGCTTAGTCAAGTGATGTTAACGTGGTTCAATTACGTCACTGTTTTATGGTTCGATTTAACTTTAATTTTAAGCAAAACCATAATTAGCCGTTCTAAAATCGAAGTTCGTGGTACACTTCCAACTAGATGACTGTTTTCTTTTTACGTAGTAAGTTCCATTCCACTAATTCCTTTATTTTCAAGCCTGTTGGATGCCTCCACTCATAACCTAGAATTAAAGCTATGGAGGGTAGAAACACTTACTAAGGTCTTGAGTTCGCCACACCGTCAGGTTCGCTTGGGGAATATGAATGAAAGTTGTACAATCCAAGCAGAATAGAATAGAATTTATTGACGCCATATAAATATAAAAATTTTTGGACATGTCATAAAATAGAGATATAAAATAAATATATTTTTCGTAGCAAGTACATAAAAAGATTATCTATTTTCCATAACAAAAATATTAGACCGTCTTATAATAAGTAATCCGAGTCGTATACTCTTATGCAAATGTTGTTTGTAGTAAGTGTGGGGTTTGTGAGTCCGGTTTTAACATTATTTGCATAAAGTAATTACCGATCGTGGTATGCGGGTCCGATTTCCACCCCAATTCCCGGTGGTACATCGAATATCCGGGTACCAGAGGCGGTTTGTTTTCCGTCTAACCCTGAATAGTCCGTGTATCTGTCTATCTGCCTGTCGCTTGTTTATACCTACATTCATATATTATTAATCAGTATTATAACTTTATTCTTATTTATTTAAATGAATCCTTTGTAATTTCCGAGTTAACATTTTAGTTTGCGTGAGACAAACGACTAAATAAAGGTTTCGCCTTTGGAAAGGTTCAATTTTAGTCGTTCCCGTTTATAGGGGTTGGCCATAAGTAGGTGGGATAGGTAGGTGCATGTTTAACGGCTATTGGAAAGAGATAAAGAGGGTCGTGGAAAAGCGGAAGCGTCGCGGCGCCCAGGTGCGGGTCGCCCCTCTTCCCCTCCACCATTCGAACACCGCGCCATCGTCGACACGTAACTCTTGTTTACGGGGTCCCGATCATCGACTTTGCGATTTCCCGTCTACGGGGATTTATTTTTCCATGAAAGAAGCACTTTTCCGCTTCAACAAAATTCCCTGGCGTCTTGGCATCAATCCGCTGATAGCTCTCGGTTACGAATCACATCAATTATTGATACCAAATCAAATATTCTTTCTCCTATATTTTATTGAAATAAAAGTTTTCAAAAGAAAAAATAAATTAACTATTACATCCGGATCATTTAATGTCACACTTAATGGGCAAACTAAAATCGAAGTCGCATACATTATCTCCACCGAAATCGACAAATCCTTCGGGATCCATTAAAGGGGTCTACCGAAAAGCGCCAATTTCAAATCCCACAAGAGCGAAAACTTTAAACGAACGTCGTCCAAAGAATCTAATCTAAACTCTCGGTTGTTCTTATTAGCACCAAGGGAAAAAATGGGAACAATAAAGGTTGAGATTTTGATTAATTCGAGTTAATTTATAAGACACAATATTGTGTTCGCCAGACTGAGCTGGCGGCCTAACTTAAACGGTTCACGTTATGATGGATGAGGAGAAAGCCAAAGAACGAACGGTAAAGGGGAGAAGCGTCAAATGCAAGGAAACACCTAACCAACTTGCTACTTTAAGTCTTCAATACGGTGGTGGTCGACGTGTTAAGCTTCACCGGTTTCTGGCGCGGCTTCCCTCTAGGTCTAACAAATACTTGATCGATGGTGTCGGGAACAATGAATTGGGTTCTCCCTTCTTGTGGCGAGTAATTTAGTTATCGCGTGCTGAAGGCGGCTTTCAGAGAACAGATTCCACGAACCCACATTGTTCTTTATTTAATTATGTGACCAAGCAATTTTTACGTTATAATGAATCTTCTTTCGATCTTTATTTTCAACACCTGTTAAATTTTTAACGAAAGATTTATATTTAAAAACATTATCCTGTTTGAGTTGAGATCGAAGTGCCGAAGGCGACTTTACAAATTGGGTTTGCATGTAAACGTAGGGGCCTCCGATATCCTTAGGGCGATTGACTTCGTTAAATAAAACAAGAGAGCCAACATGGGGGCACCTTCTGTTGGGATCGAATTCAATATCCATCGGGAGAGTTTTCAAAATCCGCTCACGTGCTAAGCTATAATCCGTTTCGTGATCCTCAACATCAAACGAACCAAACTTGTAAAGGTGAAGATATACGCAAAACAAGAAAAAAAATCATTAAAAGCGTTTACATTCTACGCGAATTATAGTCTCGTTATCTGAATAAAGACTAACTGAAATTTAGTTCGATGGAGCATGGTCGTAAGCAAATAACCCAATTTTAACGATGAATTATAAGTTTAAAGGGGGTCTTCGTTAGGAATTCAACGGCGCAAACTCCTAACTAAGACCCGCGCGGATTACAGAAGGTAAACATGGAAATATGGGCGGTAGAACTTTGGCCAAATTTGCCAAATTGCCAGGCTACTTGTTATACTTGTTATTTGTGTTCGCGGGAACTTTGTCGAGAAAAACGAAAAATAACATGGATGTGCACACCCCACTCTAGCAGAGTATTGTGGTTCTCGGGAAGTTTATCGCCTCCAGATACATGCCGTCATTGTATCCTTAATATGGACGAGTGTGCCAAAGTTCTATTTAGATTCTTTTATTTTTACAAAAAAAAAGACTTTTTTGGCAACTGGACGTGAAATCTGAAAAGTAAATACTTATTTTCAGAAAAAATTCACTCAAACACAACAATGATCAACAAAGATACCAGTTATTTTATGTCCTCGAAAGAGAAGAAAAAAAATAAAGATGAAAGAAAAATTTCAAAAAAGTAATGTTGAATATGGATCAATATGGTATTGAATGAACAATACAAAATAAACAGTTAGTTAAGCCCAATCGGATATGGTAAACTCCAAGTTCCATGAGAGAGTCGCGCCGTAATATGCATATCCGCACTTTTCGAACGCGAATACAATTCGAAAATAAAACAAGATTTATAGGAATGATTTATTGCCGCTAAATTTCAGATTACGAAAGTTAAACATTGTGTTTTCCTCGGCAGTAAATCGTAAACACTCGTACCCCGGCATACGGCTTCTCGTTAAGTTATGGCTTTAAAACGAGCAAGTTTTATAATTAATATAGCATAAAAAGGGGGAAGGGATAAAATTTGTATTGAATAGTGAATGATAAGTGTGAAGTCGTAAAATAAATCGTGTTCGATTTACGAGTGTCATATCCTGATTTCGTCTTGCAACGTGTTTTCAAGGGTATAACATCATTTATTCCTCGACGATAAAGGAAGCATTCCCCAGGTTATAGAATACGTTTTCCCAGAATAAATAGAGATTCGATCTGAGAAGAAAATATTCGCTCGATCGTTTGTTTTAGGTATTTTTCTTTTCTGTAAGACGACTCGTTTTATATTTTCAAATAAATATGATCGCGAAAACTATTTATAATTTCCATTATAAAGAATAATCCTATTTTTATATTAAATTAAACCATCCACGTATCTCTACATAAAAGGATAATATATCTCGAAATATTTTCACTCTAAAATAATTCAATATACAGTTAACTTTCAACGTCCCTCTTTTGCCTTCATCCTCAAACATTTCATCATGAATTCGCTTTTATTTCACTTCATCAAAAAATTTGAGTTAATAAATTTCACTTTACGATTAAAATTCAGAATCATTTTGAGTTATAGAAAGTTTGTAGAAATGTAAATTACTTACCGAGTGCGGAATAGGCTAGTTGAAGTTGGATAGCGCAGCACATGAGGAAACCAATCCACCAGGAAGTTCTTAACATACCTGCGACAAAAAAACAAACCGAAAATGGAAAGTTTCAAATTTTCTTTCTCTCAGTAAGGATCGCGAAGATTGAATGATCCGACGAACTCTCCGCAAAATACAAATATAGGCGCACTCTTGGGGGCGCGCAATGCTCCGGCGAAAGCATGCGCCCTTATCACTCTTATCAACTTTCAAACTATATTCTACATAGGATCCAAACCACCTGCTCGCACTTTAAAACGATTCGCAAACATGAAACATTTTTAAAATAATGATATGAAGCACATTTTCATATTATATTTTTACATTTTAAAATGATATCTTATATAAACTTGTAATATAATTTTTTACCTTATATTATCCATGCTTAAGTTAATTAACAAACTTAAATTTTGATTTATTTGAACTGTCAAATTCTATTCTGTCAAATTCTATTCTGTCAAATTCTATTCTGTCAAATTCTTAGTGATTTAATTATATTAATGTTGCCCATTCTTACGTTGCTATGGAAACCTCCTTGAGTAAAGCAAACTCAAAATGATGGCTGTTTTTTAAGGTTATCTTAAAAACGATGACCAATATTGATTTTTTATAAGAAATGTATAATTAATTTAAATCAAAACAATTTGAATTGTAATTTGTGATAAATCATTTAAAGCTAAAAACAATTAAAAAATATTAAAATAAACAGATTAATGGAATAAATGATTAATTGAATTTTCTATTTGTACAGTTGGAAATGCAAATAATATAGAAGAAATGTTTTGAATTCATATTGTTTAAATAATAAATTATTTTTATCTAAAAATATGAACTGTCAAACAGAACATTCCTAACCTACAAAACGAAATTCTACAAGATTTCTTTAAATCTTACATCACAAAAAATAATTTCAACTAATAACTTTAAATTAAATAAAACTTACATCTCCAAGACATGATTAACTGTTATGTATTATAATAATTAAAAGAATAAAAATAAAATTTAAACTAAACGGAAGTTTCAAGAAAATTACATTCCGTGACAACTATTTGTTTACACGTTACTAGCGCCATCTATTAACACTTTTAATAAAAGATTTCCCTTTTCATTAATAAATATTTACAAATCTTAATTAAACAAATTTAAGTTAACCAGTTTTAATGAAAAGTTTTTTTAATTTTTATCATATTATTAATAAATTTCAAAAATGGAAAGAGAAAATAATAAAGCGCCATCTATTATCTACAAAATAAATTATGAATATGCACAATGTTGTTCTATACATTACACGTCAATAAATCGGGTAGAAAAGGTAACCTAAATATCGTTATCGTAAATTAAACTTTTCATAAATAAATGAACCGGTGATAAGGCCTCTAAAAAACGATTTGATGAGCTGACGCCACGTAGAACCTCACCCACCCGGAAAAAGAGATGTCACGGTACAGGTTATGTACGATTTTAAAAGCTTTAATTGCCGTTCTCCTCATTTTTTCCTCATGTATAAACCATGCTGTTTGTATGGGACAAATTGTGTACGCGATAAATTGTGGCGGTGAAGCGCACACGGACTCTGACGGTGTGTATTATGAAAGAGATCCCCTTCATGGAAAGATAGGGACAGCATCAGATTATGGAAAAAGATTTCATATTGGAAGAGTGCCTCAAAACGACCATGTGCTTTATCAAACTGAAAGATATCATACCAACACTTTTGGTTATGATATCCCTTTATATACGGATGGGGAGTATGTGTTGGTTTTAAAATTCTGTGAAGTTTATTTTAATGGTCCAGATCAGAAGGTTTTTGATGTTGTTTTGAATGGTGATCATGTTATTATTTCTGACTTGGATATATTTGATAAAGTTGGACGTGGAGTCGCTCATGATGAATATGTTCCTTTTAAAATTTCTAAAGGTAATAATAATAAATAATTTCTTTTAATATAAATAAATTTAAATAAATAATTGTTTTAAAGGAAAACTGTATTATAATGAAGAAGAATCATCAGAAATACGAGGAAATCGTATCCGTGTCGAATTTATAAAAGGATATAAAGACAATCCAAAGATAAATGCAATGTATGTAGTTAAAGGTAAAGTGGATTCGGTGCCAAAACTTGCTCCTTTAGAAGTAGAACAAGTTGAAGAAGAACCAGAAATAATACCAATAAAAAACCGAAGACCAAGTGGTCCAAAACAACCAGATCCATACGAAATAGACGACTCATCAACAATGTTACCAGTGTTCATTGCGATTGGAACGTTTATACCATTATTATTCTGCCTTTGCAGGTTGTGATCTCAAAGACGCGTAATAAAGAAACTACGACTTTCCTTCTTAAATAAAATAAGAATAAAGAACGTTGTTGTGATTAGGTAAATTTATTAATAATGTACTCTCCAGACTGGCGCACATTGTACTTTTATTGAATCCTGTACTTAGAATAATTTCTTTTTGGGTAACTATTTTTTGAAAATGAAAAGATACACAAATATGAAATCAAGTATTTCTGGTATAGTATTATTATTTATGCTATTTCGTGTGTCACAGTGTATTAAAGTATAAAGTACTGGTATAATGCACAATTTAGTACTTAATTATTTATAAATGAAATTGTCTTGTTTTGTGAATTGTTGAAACCTTTTTTGATGGTCTTTTTTTAATATATTGTTATTAATGATATAATGTGGGTTGTTATAACTTTTATTTTTTTTTTTTTTTAATAGAGTCTTAAATAAATATTTTTAAATTAAGTGGTTTATTTACAGTATTAACATATCCTTAACATATACTTTTCACTTATAAAATAATCATTTTACCAGATAATTCCTTAAATAGAAGGTTTATTAAAGATTTTAGCAATATTTGCTGCCCTTTAGCATTCATTAGTCGAATTACATATGTATTCAAAATATTTATTATTACTTTTCTATACTCTATTTTTCAATTCGAAGGAGTAAAATGAAAAGTCACGTTTACACAGTGTAATTTTTCAAAGCTATTTATTTGGCGGGATTTTAAGTAAACTGTAGTTACGAATTTAATTACTTATTTGTTTAAACATAATAAAAACCAAGGCGTACCTACTTACTTTGTCCTACATAAACTGCAACATATCAATATAGCTTGACATTAAGATGAGTTTAGACATGCATGGATTTAGTGGAGCCAGTAATTGCGCCAGTTCTATACTATATGTACACGCCAGTAAAGGTTTACATCAAGGTCCGTTGAGTATTGGTTATCCAACTCGAACAAATTGACGTTGACGGGTGAGGTAGGAAACGTGATGTCATTGGAGGAAACGTATAATATACAGGTGCCCGAGATCGTTAAATACCTCGAATTCCGAACACTAGATATAGAACTAGAAAGTTTCGGGTTTAGTAATAGTATAACGTCTGAAGACGCACGGCTAAACCCGAATTTTTCTAATTCTAGGTCTAGTTTTAGTGCAATAAAAATATACAACTTAGTGATATCTAGCAACATCATGTTTGAACACATTTTAATGTTTTTTTTTAATAAAGAATACATCATAAGAGAACACCATGAAGTTGTCCATTTGTCTATTATATGATAAGTAACTTCACATTTAAAATGTCAACCTCAATTTTGACATATTTGTGATCTTCATTAAAAATCCTTTAAAATGAGTACAAACACGACATATTTATCTTCAATATTAATGAAGTTATGGTCAACTTTCGGTTACAAATGTCAACGTCAATTTTGACATATTTGTAATGGTCGTGAGAAATCCTTTAAAAAGAGCTCAAACATGATACGTTTAATTCCAATATTACTCAAGATATAAGCAACTTCCGATTTGAAATGTCAATGTCATTTTGACATATTCTTAATTTTTATAAAATTTCTTAATATTTGTCACAAAAACAGAAATATAATTAAAAAGAATCAAAAATTAAGGTTGGTATTAATATTTAAAAATTAAATTGTTATCTTCATTGTTGCTAACTTCGGCTTTAACGATTTTTATTCTAACTTTGAGATAAGTGCGTCATCTTTGGACTCATTTTAAAGGTTTTTGAATGAAGATAACAAATATGTCAAAACTGATGTTTCAAACCGGAAGTGATTGTATTTCCATTAATATTAAAGTTAAATATGTCGAGTTTGGACTCACTTTAAAGGTTATTTTATGAAGATTACGAATATGATAAAATGAAAGTTGACATTGACAACTGAAAGTTTTTTTCACGGCTAAACCCCACTGTTTCTAGGTCTAGGTCTAATGTTCTAGTTTTAATTGTTATTTAACCCTAAATTCTTGTACATTTTAATTGATCTAAACATTTTTTTGTTTGATTTAACCCACTTACCTTGCTTATAACTTCATCCATTTACCCATTTTGACTTAAATACAACCTTTAAATCCAATTAATTATGTGTTTTTCATTAAAAAAACTTAAATTCAACGTCAATTTTGACAAGCAACTGCAATATTTGGATCTTAATCACCATGGTAACCGAGTCAAGTTGGATAACCTTAAAATAATAAAATTTTATTCCGACTTTTTTATCAATTCTAACCTAATTTTTATTAATTTTAAAACATTCGTTACGATTATTTCGCATTCCTAACAAATTCGTTAATTGTACTTAATTTAAATCGATTCTAATTAAGATAAATAAATTAAAAATATCTTTTTTTGATTTAATCCACTTACCTTGTTTATAATACCGTAGATCCTAGATAAACCAATTTTGAGTTAAATACAGCCTTTTAAAACCATTAAATAAGACTTTTCCTTAAAAGAACTTAAATTCAACTTTGACAAGCACCTGCAATATTTGGATCTTAATCACCATGGTAACCGAGTCAAGTTGGATAACCTAACAATAATAAAATTATAACCGTTAATATTTCGCTTTATATTTTAAATATTTTTTAATTTTATTTTATATTTTTGTATATTGCTTCTTAAGTGAAATACACAATAAATATAAATATAAAAATGTTAATTCTTCCAATGACGTCACAGCAAGGCCTTTGCGGGGGGATACGTTCATAACAACAGCGTTCATATGGAGTTGGATAACCTTATACAGTATATTTAATCAACGGACCTTGTGCGAAAACAAAAATAAGTGACACGCCAGTTTCATTTTTAAAGTGTATTGCACAGTGCGCAATATGTCGAGTGAACTTTCCGAAGCATGCAAAGTAATCGCTAAACTTTTAGTGCAAAAAGAAGATTAAAGAAATACAGAAAAAACGACGAAAAGATCGTGCCTGGGTTAAACCATGGATTAGTCGTCGATCTACTTTGGGTGCTTCTGCAAAACTTTTACGAGAACTCGCAACAGAAGATTCTGCAAGCTATAAAAATCCCAAGAAGAAATATTTGAATTATTTGAAGTGCAAGAAGAAAATTCAGTTCTTTGGAATACCAAATCTAACGAAAACATAGAAATCGGGAAGCGATGGATGCAATTTTAACAAGTATTGGACAGAAATTTAAACGGGATTTGTACCATTGGTAATATCTAGTTTTATAACAACATAATTTGGTCTTCTGACAGTAAAATTAAGTCTTCTGCTAACAGTATTTGGTTTTTTGGTAGTAGTGTGTAGTCTTATGTAAGAAGGATGTGCTTAATTTGCAATATCTAGTCTCTCTTTTGTAACACTCAGTCTTCTGCCAGCAATATCTAGTCTCTTAGAGCAATTGAGGTGTTTAAGTTTATATTTTGTAACATCTCGAATTTTCCTAGAGTAATTTTTACTTAAAACTGACCAATAGCAACATTTCTTTTTGGCGCGTCAATTTGAAAATTCTCTTCCGAATTAAAAAATACAGTATAATAAGTAAAATAAATCATCAAAAACTTATTTTGCATACTAAATAGATTTATTAAGTAGCAATTAAACATGTTTAAAATATAAATTAATTATAGATAATTATAATTATAGAGACTGTGTTAGAGAAAAGGATGCATTTAAAGAAACTGCAACACCACCAGTTTTTCCAGCATACGTAGCTTGAAAACGAAGTCCATACTCAAGAGATTTAGCCTGTATAAGTTCATAACTTGCAGGAAAATGCGTTACTAAATAATCCCAAGATTCCTTCTTTAAAACTAAAATTTCCACGGTGGTAATTGCCTTATACGAATGTTGATAAGGTATTTTTTGCAATCCCTGATTTTCCCCAAACGACATGTTTGCACTTAAAAAGTAACATTGAATTTCTTCATCACCGGATACCATGTAAGCAGCAACTTCTCCTTTATGAATGAAGTAAATTGCACTATCAACATCACCGCTTTCGACAATATAATTTCCCGGTAAATAGATGCATCGTTTCAAATGGATAACTAATTGCCGAAGGAAATCTATGTGGGTGTTTTCAAACAAATAGTGAGATTCGATATGTTGCATATAAAGCGATTTCATGATATCTTGTTTTAAGTACGAAGGAGCGTCGTATAAAGCTTTAGGCACCCATTCTCCTCTTTGCATATTCCACAGTTGTAGAAGATATTCCCATACTAATTTAAAAATTGGTGGGGATAAATCACGACCCTAATAAAGAAAGTGTATCAAGATAAGTTTGTAAAAAATGAAATTAAAAACCTTTAGGTACTGTTTGAGAATATCAATTTCGTGTTGATACTTCATCATGATGCTTCGTTCTATCATAATTAATGTGGCAAAACCGCTTATGATGGTAGCAATAATGTATTGAATTAAATATGATACTATTAAAATAATTATTAATTGATTGGTGTTGTGTGGGCAAACTAATCTTAACCCGGTGGAAGAAAACATGCTTATAACTAAGGCGTAAGTTACGATTATGGCTGTTCTAATCGATTTTGTATCGATAAAGTAAGTTGGACGTCCTACTATGTTATAAACGTATCGGCAAACTCCATCGTCACAACCAAATATTAACCTGCAATAAAATATATAATGAATCAATAAAAAAATAAGAAAAAAATTTTAATTACCAAACATTTGCAGTTAATTGAATATAAAATAGTGTCTTGTACAATAAATAAGTCCAACGTAGATGTTTACTAACAGTTAATTTTGCGTTACACTGGTTGTAATAGTCTACTAAATAATAATATCTTATTATTCTATTTATGCCAAATAGTTTCGAACCACTTGTCATAAATAATGATCCAATTTGTTCGAATGGAAAACAAATCAACAAGTCGAAGGTAAAATATGATTTTAAATACTTAATGGCGATATTCTTCCCGATTTTTTCTAAAACCCCCGAATAAGGATCTTGATAATACATACTGAACCCAATAAGCAGATTAATTGCAAATATAACATCGGAAAGAGAAAATAACAGCATTAGCACAAGGGGTGTTGGTGTTTTTATATTAATACACAAATTTAATAACGAAGCTGTGCTGGTAATAAAAGATATATGAACGCAAACTATGTATTTCCAATATTTATATTTCATTCCCGTGACTGGCAGTATTCTATTAAACCTTTCCAAGTATTTGTGGTACCTCAACAAATGACCTTTAATGCTTCTTAAATATTTTTTGTGAAATATTTCTGGTGGAACCGTGCACATAAGTGAGATGTTGTATTCTTGTCTAGTTGATAAAATAACGTTAAGAATTTCTTCTGCAGATTCATTCTTCCAATACTGCAACAATCTATGAAACTCTTTACTCTTAATAGCTAAAAGAGTTATATTTGTTATTGCTTTAGCTGATATCATTTGTCTTTCGCCATTAGTTGCAGAAAAACAACCAAATACACCCCCTTTTTCCAACAAACACACTTGGCAACTTGCAACGGAAATTTCAACCAACCCGGTATATACAACGTATATATAAGCTTGAACATCGTTGCATCGAATTACATCAGCCCCCGCTTTATAATGCACTTCTTGTACTCGTTGTGCAACCGCCAATAAAAACGGTTCGGAAGAATTCAACATTAATCTCGTCACTCTTAACGTCGATTCATATAAGAAACATATAAATTGTGATCTTAGAAACGGATTAAACTTTGAGCAGATTTTTGCAATGTTTGATCCTTGAGTTAGTTTCCAAACCATTTCGTTATGCGCTACAGTTTCTTTTATTAAATGATCGCGAAGTCGGACATCTTTTGCAAATTTTAAAAATTGTTTCATACGAGCTTGATAATTTGCTAAATTAATTCCACCTCCAGTCTAAAACAAATCATTCAAATCAAATTTACAAATTTTAACCTTATAATAAACACGCGTGGACTTTCAGTCCTAGAATTTAGAAACATTCGGGATGTGAGGGACAGTTCTAGGACTAGTATTAGTTCTAGTGATAACTCTAGTTGTTGTTGTATTTCAGCGTTAGGTTGTTGCCTAACGTTGCATTAAAAGGAATGTTGACCACTATTTGACTAATACAATTAGTACTGAATAACACCAAACTACAGTGGTAAAACTTTAAACTGCTAATGGCTTAATATATGTAGGAGTAACGTACATACCACTGAGACATAATCTCAAAGGAGAAGATTATCAGGAAATTCTACTACATCTTGACAACAAATTTATACTTGGAGGAGACTTTAATGCAAAACATATGTCTTTGGGTTCTCGCTTGACAAATACAAAAAGAAGAGAACTGAACTATGCAATAGAAAAATATATCGCTTGACTTCGTAAACATAGAAGAAGAGAGAATATATTACTCTAAATATCAAAGAATTATCTTTTATCACTAACTAATAAACTCACTAATTGGAATCTATTTCAACAAACATTAGATAGTAAAATTCATCTTAATGCTCTTATGAAAACAAGCAAAAACATTGACAATGAAGTAGAAAAGTTCTTAAAATACATAAAAAACGCAGCTTGGGCCTCAACACCAATTTTGACACCAAAACCTAAATCCAATATTTATCCTAAATTCATTAGAGACAAAATTGCAGAAAAACGGAAAGCAAGAAAGAAATGGTACAAACCGGTACTGATTATTCTCTGTGGAAGGCAACAAGAAAGCTTAAAGTTCCAAAAACACATACACCTCCAATTCGAAATAATAATGGAAATTGGGCTAAGAGCAATCAAGAAAAAGTTAATTTGTTTGCTGAACATCTGAAAGAAACTTTTACATCAAACACTCCTGCAACTATGCTAAATAGTGTAAAATAGCGTAATTCAAAGTGATCAGCAGAGTAATATACCATGTGTAAGAATGAAAGAACTGTATTATGAAATACAAAAAGTAAATATAAAGAAATCAGTAGGCTATGACCAAATTAATGGAGAAACATTGAAACATCTACTAAAACAGGCGATTACAAAACTATTACACATAATTAATGCTGCCTTTAAACAGAAATACTTCCCAAGCATTATTAGCCTTACTATCAAAACTGCTTGAAAAATTACTATTAAAAAGACTAAAACCTGTCATAGAAAAAAAAGCCCTAATACCAACACATCAATTTGGGTTTCGGAATAAACATGGAACAATAGACCAAGTGCATAGAATAACGAATACTATCGAAATAGCAATGGAAGAAAATAAAGTCTGCTCCGCCATATTTCTGGATGTTGCACAAGCTTTCGACAAAGTCTGGTTAGGTGGTTTAAATTACAAACTAGACCAAATATTACCATCAACCATTAAAATCGTATCTTTCTGATCGATACTTATTCACCACTATATGAAATACGAGCCGGAGTTCCTCAAGGAAGTGTGCTTGGCCCAACACTGTACTTACTCTACACATTCGACCTTTCTCAGGTACCAGAAACTTTAACAGCTACATTCGCAGATGACACAGCGATCTTGGCTGTTGCAGAAAATGAAATAGTTGCAGCAAATAACTTACAATTGGCTTTAAATTCAATAGAAAACTGGACCAAACGATGGCTAATAAAACTAAATACAAATAAATCGGCATATATAAACTTTACTTATAATAAAGTAAGCTATGTCCCAGTACACATAAATGGCAATGCAATCCGTATGATGCTGGATGCCAAACTCAAATGGAAAGCTCATGTCAAAAAAAAACGTGAGGCACTTGATATCAAAGTTAGACACCTATATTGGCTTATTGGCAGAAAATTAACGCTATCACTAAGAAACAAGTTGCTAATAAACAAGCAAGTATTAAAACCAAAATGGACATACCGAATCCAACTGTGGGGTTGACAAGATAAATGCAAGTCTGATTCAAAGATTCCAGAACAAAGTACTAAGGTGCATACTGAAGCACCCTAGTATTTAAGAAACACCGACCTCCATCGCGACTTGAAAGTACATAGCATCGGTGTCATCAGAAATTGCATCATTCGCATCTAAACGGGTAAAGCAGATTGGACCACTGGAAAAAGCTGCAAAACATTATCTAGTTTAATTTGGTGTTAAAAATGAGTAACTAATTACTATGTATTTACTAGGTGTTATAGAATTGTGCTATGCATAACATAGAAAAAAGATTGAAAATATTGAACTAAAAGTAGAACTAACACTAGAACTAGAAATATTCGGGTTTAGCATGTCACTGTGTAAGCACGTGTAGAGGATGTCCCAAATTCGTTGTCCTCGTAGGCTATCTCTGAAATTAAAAGAGATAGAAAAAATGTTGCTTGCTTATCATGATCTCGTTTTTCAACAAATTGCTAATGCCGAAAACTCCAAACACTTATCGTCTTTTGTTTTCATCCTATCGGAAAAAACTGAAAAAGTTGAGTTGGGTTAATTTTGTTTATAAATGTTAATCAACTCCGACAAAAATATTGGGTAATGTTATGATAGGTCAGTTTTGTTTTGAACCCCAATTACAACTTGAGGGATGTCGGTTTTCTTTTGTACCCCAATTATAGCATGAAGAAACCGTAATTAAAGCGTGAAAAAATGTTAAGACCGGTAGTTTTCTTTGGACACCCCATTAAATCGTGAAGAAATGTTAAGACAGGTAGTTTTCTTTTGAAACTCCAATTATAGCGTGAAGAAATGTCGGTTTTCTTTTGTACCCCAATTATAGCGTGAAGAAACCATAATTAAAGCGTGAAGAAATGTTAAGACCGGTAGTTTTCTTTTGAAACTCCAATTATAGCGTGAAGGAATGTCGGTTTTCTTTTGAACCCCAATTATAGCGTGAAGGAATGTCGGTTTTCTTTTGTACCCCAATTATAGCGTGAAGAAACCGCAATTATAGCGTGAAGAAATGTTAGGATAGGTCAGTTTTGTTTTGAAACCCCAATTATAGCGTGAAGGAATGTCGGTTTTCTTTTGAACCCCAATTATAGCGTGAAGGAATGTCGGTTTTCTTTTGTACCCCAATTATAGCGTGAAGAAACCGCAATTATAGCGTGAAGAAATGTTAGGATAGGTCAGTTTTGTTTTGAAACCCCAATTATAGCGTGAAGGAATGTCGGTTTTCTTTTGAACCCCAATTATAGCGTGAAGGAATGTCGGTTTTCTTTGAAACCCCAATTATAGCGTGAAGGAATGTCGGTTTTCTTTTGAACCCCAATTATAGCGTGAAGAAACCGCAATTATAGCGTGAAGAAATGTTAGGATAGGTCAGTTTTGTTTTGAAACTCCAATTATAGCGTGAAGGAATGTCGGTTTTCTTTTGAACCCCAATTATAGCGTGAAGGAATGTCGGTTTTCTTTTGAACCCTAATTATAGCGTGAAGAAACCGCAATTATAGCGTGAAGAAATGTTAGGATAGGTCAGTTTTGTTTTGAAACTCCAATTATAGCGTGAAGGAATGTTGGTTTTCTTTTGAACCCCAATTATAGCGTGAAGAAATGTTACGATAGGTCAGTTTTGTTTTGAAATTTCAATTATAGCGTGAAGGAATGTCGGTTTTCTTTTGAACCCTAATTATAGCGTGAAGAAGTGTCGGTTTTCTTTTGAACCCATATAATAGCGTGACGGACTGTCGGTTTTCTTTTGTACCCCAATTATAGCGTGAAGAAACCGCAATTATAGCATGAAGAAATGTTAGGATAGGTCAGTTTTGTTTTGAAACTCCAATTATAGCGTGAAGGAATGTCGGTTTTCTTTTGAACCCCAATTATAGCGTGAAGAAGTGTCGGTTTTCCTTTGAACCCCAATTATAGCGTGAAGGAATGTCGGTTTTCTTTTGAACCCCAATTATAGCGTGAAGAAACCGAAATTATAGCGTGAAGAAATGTTAGGATAGGTCAGTTTTGTTTTGAAACTCCAATTATAGCGTGAAGGAAAGTCGGCTTTCTTTTGAACCCCAATTAAAGCGTGAAGACACCACAATTAAAGCGTGAAGGAATGTTAGGATAGGTCAGTTTTGTTTTCACCTGTCAATCACCGTGGAAAAAAATATTGGGTAAGGTTAGTTTTGTTTACAGCTTCCCCATACAACGTTTTAATTACAATATTCCATCTTTGGCAATAAGTGAGATATTCGCGTTTGTCGTTTTCGCAAATTTTTCACTTTTTGACGATGGCTGTTCGAAGTTTTTGGCATCAGCAATTTCTTGAAAAGCGAAATTTCTTTATTTTTTCATTCTTTTAGTTTCGAAGATAGCCTACGTGGACAACGAATTTGGGACACCCTGTACTGGAAGGTAAAGTATACTTACGGTACAACTTGTGAATCCGCTTATAACGATCCATCTTACCATAGAAAGTATCCACATCAAAATAATAAAAGTTGTTAACTCATTTCCACTTCCAATTCCGAAAATACCAGTTAAAGTTCCTGCGTAAATACATACTACGTAATATAAAGTTTGAATAAATACTGTGTTTGTTGAAAGTATTTCTGGGAGTGAAGAAGTAGTAATCCAAGTTCTTCCACTACAGTTAATATAAAATTCGGTTTCGGTAACATCAACAAACGAACACGTAAGAATCATCAAAATATTAGTTATTGCTAATAAAAATCCAATAAGAAACACCGTATATTTCGCTTTGATTAGTAAAGATCCCCACCACCAAGTAACCAAGCTTTCTAAGTAAGTCATCGACTTATAAAACCGATATATTTGTAGAGATCTCAAACAAATTCTCAACAGGGCTTTAGTTTGCATGATATTTCCAGATCCAAACACATAAGCTGATCTTAATAAAAACTGTGGTAAAGTTTGGATGATATCTATAGGGAACGAACATCCAATATAATGCTTTGCGGTATAAAGTGGGTGCGTTATCAAGATTCCATCATTATTATAGTATTGACAATGCAACCGAACATAAACGTCTACAGCTGCCACGAAGCAAAAACTTCCCACCAAACCACTCACCACGGCCAATTTCGTCGAAAGCAAATTCGCCGTTAACAAACCCAAAGTTATATCAACTAAGATTGTTGTTATTCTAAATGCTTCCCAAGTAATAAAAAATTTTCCTTTGGGGTCAATTGTGCGACGGAGAAGAACGTAACGTAACCATGACCAATGTTCTAAAATTAATTAATAAATTGTAATGGTAAAATTGATTTAATTTTGAATGTGCTCAATTTTCTTAAGGCAATAAAATGTAAGTAGCGATGGTGGTGTAATGGTCAGCATAGTTGCCTTCCAAGCAGTTGATCCGGGTTCGATTCCCGGCCATCGCACTTTTTTTTATATACAGGCTGTCCCACCTAAGTTGCCTCGGTCCATAGCCAAAAAATGTTTCATATAAAAGTTGAATCGAATCATATTGTACACATTTTAAAATTAGTTTCAGTAATGGTGGACTTCCGCTTCTACCGGAAATGGATATCAACTTTGTTATTTTAAATGGAACAACCTGTATAATATTGCAATTTTGGATTCTAAATGGTATCGTTTTTTAATTACGATGATTTTTGAAAAAAAATGACATTTGCAGCGTCTTATAAATTAAGTAACATTGCCGAAACTGTGAAAGCTAGAAAGATTTGGTTTTCTGTTTTGGATTAACAATAAAAGAGCACACGTTTGCTAATAGAAAATTATGAATTTATATTATAGAGTATTATATACGTAGTTAAGAAGGGATCTGTAATTTTCGAACTTTTTAATCATGGATAACTTAATTTTTTTAAATGGAATAATATACCAGTTTTTGCATAACTGGATGTAAAATTTAATTTCCTTTCAGTTTTATACAGGTATCATGGTGTCTATCTTCAAAGGTTTTGGAGATATTTCCGATTTTTCAGTTTTTAACGATAGATACTTATTTCGCAGCGCCGGCCACCTTCCCCTCGCATTTTATCAGACTTGGGACTAGTAGAAATGTAATGGCATGCTTAAAAAATGGCCAACAAAACACAAATAAAAAACAAAACTTTTTTTTAGTGTCGTCAAAGAAATTAAATTTACAGTTTCCTGTAAATTACAATACTATAACAAAATTATTCTACTAAAAATTTATATAAAATTTACTTTATTTTTTAATATGTAACATTCTAACATGTTAAACTTAGGATTTTTAATTTGACACTTCAGAAAATTTTTGATTACAAACAAATTTTGCTAAGTCCTTACAAAGTACCGCGGTTTGACGACATTTTGGCTCGAAAGTCAAGCGGGAAGAGTCGAAAGTCCTTCTTACTACAATTTTTGCAACTCCAAAGGCAACAAGACAGCAATAATAAGTGTTGAGATGCAGTGAGAAGCTGTCAAACCGCCATATTGGCTCGAAAACAGGCTTCATGAACCGCGGTATTTTGTAAATCTAGGGACTTTAAAAAAATATATATATGAGCGCCATCTATCAATAATTTATTAAGTTATTTAATAATAATATTAAATATTAATAAAAAAATGTTAAATAATGCAATCTATTCCAACTTTTGTGTAAAACAAATATAAATTAAATAGTTCAACAAATGTATTTGTTTCAAATATTAGAAATATGTTTTTTTTTAATTTTTAGTTATAATTTACAGGAAACTGTAAATTTAATTTCTTTGACAACACTAAAAAAAAGTTTATTTTTGAAAATTTTTACTTTGCATAAGATATCGCTATGCTGCATATTTTTATTGAACTAAAACTAGAACTAAGTTTCGTGTTTAGCCGTGTCTGAAGACGCACGGCTAAACCCGAAACTTTCTAATTCTAGGTCTAGTGTAGTTCTAGTTTTACACTATTATTAGAACTAACACAAAACCTAGAACTAGAATCATTCGGGTTTAGCCGTCTTGAGAGACGTGCGGCTAAACCCGAATGTTTCTAGTTCTCGGTCTAGTGTTAGTTCTAGTTTTACACTATAATTAGCACAAGACCTAAAACTAAAATTATTATAACTACCCTATGTGAAGGAAGGAAAATACTCTTCGTAAAATTTAAGAAGGGTACATAAATTTATTTAAATGGAACACCCTGTATATTTTATCATATGAATACAAATAAATTTGTTTATACAACAGTATATGTTACTATTTCGCAGCGTTCATAGTTTTTGAGATATTCATTTGTTCTTGCAAAATGTGCCCATTACAGGATCTTTTTAAAAACGATGTAAAAACGACATTTTTTCCAATTTTGCCTTGAAACTATGTCAGACAATAGTCAAAGCCAGTAGGTAGAGGATAGTATTCACAGATATTAGATACACTATACAGATTGTTTATAAAGCTTAGTTACTTTTGATGTTTTTCAAATGGCTTTTTCTTAAGTTTTTTAAATGGAACCCCTGTATACTGTGTGCTAGTTGAATTACTCATCAAGTTCCCTTCTTTAATAGTTTCTTTAAAATGTCATTAATGTACAGTAATACGGGATTATAAGGTCTATTTCTTATTGTTTTAGAATAAAGCTAAAATAAACTTTTTTTTAGTGTCGTCAAAAAAATTAAATTTACAGTTTCCTGTAAATTACGATGCTATAACTAAAAATTATTCTACTAGAAATGTATACAAAATTTACTTTATTTTCTAATATGTAACATTCTAACATGTTAAACTTTTCGTAATTTTCGTAATTCATCTTAAAAAACAGAATTTTTAATTTGACACTTCAGAAAATTTTTGAATACAAATATTGGTTTATTTGAATTAAAAAAATATATATGAGCGACATCTATCAATAATTTATTAAATCGTTTAATAATAATATTAATAAAAAATGTGAAATAATGCAATCTATTCCAACTTTTGTGTAAAACAAATATAAATTAAATAGTTCAACAAATGTATTTGTTTCAAATATTAGAAATATGTTTTTTTTTTTAATTTTTAGTTATAATTTACAGGAAACTGTAAATTTAATTTCTTTGACAACACTAAAAAAAGGTTATTTTTGAAAGTTTTTACTTTGCATAAGATATCGCTATGCTGCATATTTTTATTGAACTAAAACTAGAACTAGCACAAGACCTAAAACAAGAATTATTATAACTACCCTACGTGAAGGAAGGAAAATTTTCTTTGATGAGACATGGCTCAATGAAGGTCTAAGTTGATTACGAAAAGTTATTGTACCTCCAGAATATGTAATCTATCTCGACTTAAATTAATTTGTAGTTTAAAATAACAAAAAATATAACCTACTCATTTCAAGAAAAGCTTTAGTATACTCATCAATGATAAGCAATTTCCTTTTATAAACAGTATATGAAAACGAATCAACTCCTCCTAAAGCCGGTATAACTGAAATCATCGGTGGCAATCTACATCCTTTTTTATACAAAGTATTTTGAAATTTTTCAATATGTTCAGTTAGCGACATTTGTAAAGGTTCGTTTGTTAAGGGGTGACTCTTAATAATATCTTGAAAAGTTTCATAGGGCAACTCCAGGATTTCAACGGCAGTGATAGTTTGGATCGTTACAAACGATTTAAGGCGATGTAATAATTCCAACGGTGCTAGCATATCTCCCCTTTTTAAGATAACAACACTTTTACGTTCTTTATCGCCGGGAAGATCTGAAGTCATTGAGCATTTACCACGTACAATTACGTACACGGTCATTGTTAATATCCCAGCGTTCATTAAATGCGTTCCGGGGGGTAAAACAGATATTTTCATATGCGCCGCACAAAGCCTGTAATGTTAAGGTTGGATTAAAACGTTACAATAATTAGACTTGGTTTAATCTCACTTTACAACTTGTGGCTCAAACGATTGAAATAAAGGCACTAATTTGAGAGTATTCATAATTCTTTCGGTGTATGTATCTGCTTTAAGTTTTTCTGATAAACGAAGTATCCCGTGAGGGCCATACAAGTCGGAACCTTCATTTAGTCGCCAATTAAAATTTAGAATCTTCATTAATCTTTTACGGAGATTCATATCGATGCTTCGTTGCTTCATGATATGATCGACCATTTGGATTTCGTCTTGATGAGCGTAACCTTTTCTGACACTTAACACAACGCTGGCTGTTATATCAGCGATGCTTGTTGTGAATAAGAAATAAGCGAAGTATATCATGATTGTTCGATATATCACATCGGTTAAAAGGTAAGATATAACATCGGTGACTCCTAAAGATAAAAAGTTGTTAATAAAAGTGGTTGGGTTGGGTTGTTGTTTTCTTACCGACTCCTAAATACACAGAGGAAATATGATATATAGCGATGCTAAAACGTTGTTCGGAGGGTATTCTAAATTGGGAAAACCAACTATTCATTATACAAAGATTTTTGAAACACGCAATGGCGTAATATCCTGTAGAAAATAAATAAATCGTTATTAAATGAAGTAAAACGTATTTAATAATTTTAAGAAAAATGTTTCTTCGGAAAGGGCTTTTTAATTTCTCATCGATGAGCACGAATAGTTTATAAATTTTAATAACTCTTGGTAAAGTAGACAATAACACCAAATCCTTTAGCCCAACATATTTAACTAACAGTGGATATGGAAAGCTGGCCACCACATCGATGAGAAACGTAAATTGGACGATCCGATGAAGAAAAATTTCGCCACATTTCGAAATAATCTGCGATTGAAGATTAATGGCTGTCGTTAATTGGAGGTAAATGTCGAAATAATTCGTCATATCGAGAATGCTTAAATAAACCATGCTTTGAGGCGACACCTCAACATCAAAAAACGCCACTTTCGGAATTAAAATAAACTGCACGCAAATACAAATTAAAACAATCCAATCGCAGAAATGACGAAAACTAGATTGAGGCTCCATTATAAGTGGACATTGCGATGTTAAACAAATCGCTTGGATCTTCAATTCAACTTCTTCACTTAACACCATAAAATCCAAATAAGCCGAGTAAAACGTTTTATCTAATTGTTGCCAAAGACTATCTTGAATCTCCTCTTTTTTATTGATATGCAAAGCGTGCACAGCTCTCCATTGATGTTTAAATCGTTTCATTGAGACATCATTATCTTCCCTAATTCTTAAGTATCTAGTTTTAGAATACAACTTTTTAGCGCTATCAGTTCTCGATAAAACAAGTCCGTGTATCATTTGCGCCGTCAAACGATGTTGTGCTAAAATCTTTACTAAAGCCGTAGTTTTTAATGTGTGAAATTCACAAAACGTGGCACATTTAACACTTGCTGTTCCAATGATTGGGCGAAAAATGTTAAATTCGCCCAATAAAGTCCCAGCGGATAAAGACAAATACGGCGATTCGTTATCTTCCGAGGAAAGAACTTGGACAACCCCTGAAACGATGTAAAACATTTTTGATTTTATCTCCCCGGCTTTATAAATATAATCCCCCGGTAACATAAATTCACTTCGCATCACCATTGCAATACTCTTTTTAAACGACATATCCGTTATTGTTAACAGATGAGAATGTCTTAAAGCATCCCAAAATATATCTAAAGCGACAGCTCTTTGAACGGTTACGGGTAACCAAAAAAACGCCAAAGGCATCTTTTTTTCACCCTTGCGTTTTTCCCAAAAAAACTCGTAATAATCAATCACTTTTCGTTGAATTTTTTGGTCCACGTTCCAATCCTTAAGAAGATCCATCGTTTTTTTAATGCGCGTTGTAAAATTAAATTGATAAATATGAAGATGGGAAAAAAGGGCTGTTAATTCGCCCAAAAAAATCATTAAATGCATCGAAAATCCAAGCAGCATAGAAAATATAATAAAAATCCATTCCAATTCTCTATCACTTAACACTCTCCCCATCCAATTATGCGCCACAATACTTGAGGTTATATGAAAACTAGTTATCCACCAATGCAACGAATTATTAACGTTAATTGTATCGGTTGGTACAGCATGGGTCCAATTTCTAAAACCGCAACGAAAACACGCAAACAAATACCAAACGCAAGATAACACGACGCTAATCACCAATACTCTTGTAAGATGTTGCATAATTACAACAGCTACGTGATTTATACCAACAGAATTTGTTTTCCTTTTAAAAAAAAGGTACACACTTATAATTCTTAACACCACTTTGATTCTATAAAAATCAACTGGTTTATATACATTCCAAGTATGTAAATGTAAAAGATAGTGAATTTCATAGTACGGCAATACAGAGATAATATTTAACAATAGGTGAAGAGGATGAATGGGTTCTTCGGTTCTGCTTCTTCGTTGTTTTGGCATATACCTAAAATTTGTAATTATTAATTTAAATTGAATGAAAAAGGTGTTGAATTAAAATAATTACCTATGTATTAAAAGGCCGATGATGTTAACAAGAAAGAAAAATTCGAAAGCATAGTAAATGTAAGACCACGTTTCCGTACTATATTGAAAGAAAAAATGGATTATGTTTATAATAACATTCAATAACGTTGTTAACGCAATGAAATAAGCCCATGGTTCGTTAAAGGGAAGAAAAATTAATTTCGAAAATACATTTTGTGTCGCTAATTTATCTTCAACCATATTTAAAATTTTAAATTGGCATTTGTAAGATAATGACTTATAATGTTTATTTTATTAGAATCAGATGGCTAAGATTTTTTTATTTATTTATTTTAAAGGGAAAATTTCCTGGATACAAAAAAATATATTCTATTACGTAAAATTTAAGAAGAGTACATAAATTTATTTAAATGGAACACCCTGTATATTTTATCATATTATGAATACAAATAAATTTGTTTATACAACAGTATATGTTACTATTTCGCAGCGTTCATAGTTTTTGAGATATTAAATTGTTCTTCCAAAATGTGCCCATTACAGGATCTTTTTAAAAATGATGTAAAAACGACATTTTTTCCGATTTTGCCTTGAAACTACGTCAGACAATAGTCAAAGCCAGTAGGTAGACGATATATTCACAAATATTAGATACACTATACAGATTGTTTATAAAGCTTAGTTACTTTTGATGTTTTTCAAATGGCTTTCTCTTAAGTTTTTTAAATGGAACATCCTGTATATTGTGTGTTAGTTGAATTGCTCATAAAGTTCCCTTCTTTAATAGTTTTCCTAATATTTAGAATTTAAAGAAACATGTATAATAAAATGTCATTATTGTACAGTAATATGGAGTTATATAGGTCTATTTCTTATTGTTTTAGAATAAAGCTAAAAATAAACTTTTTTTTAGTGTCGTAAAAAAAATTAAATTTACAGTTTCCTGTAAATTACGATGCTACAACTAAAAATTATTCTACTAAAGATTTATATAAAATTTACTTTCTTTTCTAATATGTAACATTCTAACATGTTAAATAATAATAAATAATCCATCTTAAAAAACAGGATTTTTAATTTGACACTTCAGAAATTTTTTGAATACAAACAAATATTGCTGTTTATTTGAATTAAAAAAAAAATATATGAGCGCCATCTATCAATGATTTATTAAGTCATTTAATGATAATATTAAATATTAATAAAAAATGTGAAATAATCTATTCCAACTTTTGTGTTGTAATGGAAAGTAAAGTATTTGTAGTTGGCGAATATTGCACAATAATTAATCAAGTCAATAAACTCAAAAAAACGCACGAGTAGGCATACTTGCCAATTCAACAAATAAATTGTGATTGTTATATTGGTAATTAGAAGTAAGCTAACCTTAGACCTGTAATGTAGTCGTCGTAAGAATAAATAAAGAAAGTAAAGAAAAAAAGTTATTTTAAATAAATTACACTCCAAACCCAAAAGAAATCATACAGAAATGACAAGAAAAGTTTAAACATTACATGGCAACCCTGCCAGTTCAATTATAAATTGGCATTAGAAAAAAAAAACAGATTAGGATACAAAGTCAACGAAACAGTATAAAAAGTAAAGTGAAAAAAAAATTAAATTTTTTGAAAAAAATATATATATGAGCGCCATCTATCAATAATTTATTAAGTCATTTAATAATAATATTAAATATTAATAAAAAATGTGAAATAATGCAATCTATTCCAACTTTTGTGTAAAACAAATATAAATTAAATAGTTCAACAAATGTATTTGTTTCAAATATCAGAAATATGTTTTTTTAATTTTTAGTTATACTTTACAGGAAACTGTAAATTTAATTTCTTTGACAACACTAAAAAAAATGTTTATTTTTGGCTTTATTCTAAAACAATAAGAAATAGACCTGTCAAACACTATATTTTTGTAATTAAGCAGTCTCTGTAGGTCATCCTCAGTCTCCGCTATGATAACTGCAGCATCATAACTGATCATTTTGATGATGCCACCTGTTGTATAATCTCATCCATGAGGAGGATGTGCTGGAAAAGACGACAAATACAATAATAACTTTGGAGTGGGATTGATATGTGATTTATATTTATTTCGGAATGAAAATAAAAATACTTTATTGACAGTATCGATGCTTTATTGATTTACACCATTCTTTTTAACATTTAGAAGAAACTCTCTGAGTTAACATCAAACATCATTTAATTTATAATTTAAGATAATAATCTCAAAAATAAAACATCAACGTCCCAACGAATTGTTGCCGCGTACAATTTCTTTTTTCTTTCGTTTTTTAAAATCCGGCGACAAAGTACTTTCATCACTTAAACTTGCACTTCTTTGGAATTTCGAGTTCCATAGTTCACTGACGGCCTTAAAGGGACTCGTACTTTTTAAACTTTTCGAAGGACTCGTATTTTCGCTTGATAATTTTAATCTTTTCCTACAGTTTATATCACCGTTATTTTCTTTGGTAATGGTAATTTTAGCATTTTTTTCGTAACGTTTCAGTTCGGTTTCGACTAGATAAACATTTCGGGTTGATAGTTGTGGTGATGATGACGATAAAGTTTGTCGGAGACTTGCAATGATGGGTTGTTCTTTAATTTTTGATAATTCATCTTTTATTGGTTCTTTTTTAATTTCTGTTATGGGTATTGTATCGTCGAGGAAAACATCGTCATCTTCATCGTAGTTGATATCGTTTAAATAAGACCTATTTTTAGAATTAGAACTATTCGTACTCGTGGAATGTTGCTTTAATTTAAAAGGACTAGAAGGGTGGGTTTGAATTCCGGAACTCTCGTTGGATATGTTTGATGGATCTTCTGAGATTTTCCAAATATCTCTGTTTTTATCAACGGTTGCGGCGGCTAAAGTAACGGAATTTGAAACTATGGATAATAATTTTGGCGGTGTTGGTAAACTCATTGATTTTGTGGTTCGATTAAAATGTATCGGTGATTCTATGTATCTTTTATTTTGGAATCTATTTACTCTGGAATCTTGAAATGAATACATTCTGCAATGGTTGAAATTGTTGTTGTAAGTATACGATGCTCGTATAGTTGGATTAGAAGAGGCGCTTCTTCCCAAAATACTAAAGAATAAATTCTTTAAAGCTTCCCGAAAATCTTTTAAATGATATGCGTATAAAATTGGATTTCCTGCTGAGTTCGCGTGCGACAAGATAATACACAACAACATAAAAGTTTCGTTTATTTCACAATCACTACAAAACGCGATGACACAATTCACCGTGTAAAGCGGGATCCAACAAATCATGAAGAATAATACTATGATGGAAAGATTTTGAGTTGCTTTTACTTCTCGTTTTTGAGCGGCCCCCAACATTCTGAGCATTGTCCCACCGCTAGTTCTTCCGTTTGTTGTTGTGCCGTGCGTTGGACTTATTGTAACAATTTGGCGAAGCTAAAATTTTTTAAAATTATTTAATTATAATCATAAATAACATTTGTAATTACCTGTTTCAATACTACCCTATAAATGTGAGCATAAAACGCAGCCAATAATAAAGCTGGTGTTATTATGGTCCCAAAATACAGAAAAACCAAGTAATTCATATCGACGACACGAAGAAAGTAGCATTTTTGGTTGTATTGGGCATCGTTATTGTACCAACCCATTAATGGCAAAAAACCAATCACTGATCCAGCAAACCAACAAATACCAATTATCACTGAAAAAGAAAAGAAATAAAATGTAGGATAATTAATCTTGTATATGTTTTTCAAAAACGAATTAGTATTTATTATTATAAACATGGTTTTTTTGAAATAACAGACTTATTAATTCACAAATGTCTTGAATCAAGTTTTCTCGAATCATTTTTTTCAAATCATAATGTCATCAAAATTCATAATACATCAAATTTAATTTTTTAACTTTTGATTTATCCTCAAAATTTTCAAGTGCTTAATCAACAATGAGAGAAATCGTTCATATTCAAATTGGTCAAGGTGGAAACAACATTGGTTCAAAAGTATTAAAATTTGATCGTCAAAATTAATTTAAATGAATAAATTTCTTTGATATAGTTTTGGGAAGTAATCTGCGACGAACATGGAATCACCCCACAAGGTTTTTATCGCGGCGATAGTGATTTGCAACTTGAACGAATTAATGTTTTCTTCAACGAAGCAAGTGGACATAAATTCGTTCCGAGAGCGATTTTGATTGATTTAGAACCGGGTACGATGGATACTGTGCGTTCATCGGCATTTGGGCAACTTTTTCGCCCGGATAATTTTATTTTTGGAAGAGCTGGAGCGGGAAATAATTTTGCAAAGGGACATTACACGGAAGGAGCTGAGCTTTGTGATTCTGCTTTAGATATTATTCGAAAAGAAGCTGAAGGATGCGATTGTTTGCAAGGGTTTCAGGTTGTTCATTCATTGGGGGGTGGAACCGGAGCTGGGTTAGGAACGTTATTACTTTCTAAAATTAGGGAAGAATATCCCGATAGGATTATAAGCACTTTTTCGGTGTTGCCAAGTCCAAAAGTATCAGATGTAGTGGTTGAGCCTTATAACGCTGTTATGTCTATGCATTTTCTCGTCGAAAATTCTGATGAAACTTATATGATTGATAACGAAGCTTTGTATGATATATGTTATAGGACATTAAAACTGTCAGCGCCATCATACGCGGATTTAAATCATCTTATTTCTTGTGTAATGGCTGGGGTAACGACTTGTATAAGATTCCCAGGCCAATTAAACGCTGATTTAAGGAAAATCATGGTTAATATGGTCCCGTTTCCACGTCTTCATTTCTTCGTGCCAGGGTTTGCGCCTTTAACATCGAGAGGGGGCGCTCAATATGCGGCAGTAACAGTTCCCGAATTAGTTAGGCAACTCTTCGATGCGAAAAATATAATGTGCGCATGCGATCCAAGAAGAGGGCGTTATTTAACTGTAGCTTGCGTTTTCCGAGGTAGAATGTCAACAAAAGAGGTTGACGAACAAATGATGAACATACAAGACAAAAATAGCACATATTTCGTTGAGTGGATCCCAAACAATATCAAATCAGCTATTTGCGATATCCCACCGAGAGGATTAAAATTATGCGGAACTTTTATTGGAAACACAACAGCCGTGCAAGAATTATTTAAAAGGATGTGCGAAGCTTTTTCAGCTATGTTTAGGAGGAAGGCTTTTTTACATTGGTACACCGGGGAAGGAATGGAAGAAAGCGAATTTTTAGAAGCCGAAGCTAATTTAAACGATCTTATTTCAGAGTATCAACAATATCAGGAAGCTCAAGCTGATGGTGATGATGACTACTAATAATAAATCGTTTAAAACCGATATTTTTAGAATTCTTTTAATTTTACGATTTACATAAAATTTAGTCTTAAATTAAAAACAGGAAAATGTGATAAATTTTATTGTCAATTTATGTTCTATCTAATTTTATCACATCTTAACATGACGTGAAATTCGAACCAAACCCGTTGGTTATTAAATTTAACGGAGTTTTTCCGTCTGTAAAACATGGTTTATCTGTTTTCGACACCGCTTGCAATTGATTTAACTCATCAGCAGATAACAAGTCGAATAAATGGAATTGTTCGCATTGGATGAATCCAATAAAAAGTTTGAATTAAAAAAAAATTAAGAATATTATTGGCAATCAATTTCTGTTTACATTTCTGAAATTCAATTACCCAGATAATAACAGAATATAATGGAAATATTTCAATTCTGTTGAAGTAAACAACAACAAAAATTTTACATAAAAGTGTAGTTAATTAGTTATTTATTTTAAGAGCGTTTCTGTGTATGATTTAAGATGAAAGCGTTGTATGGAAGTTCAAATATGAGTACTGCGAGAATTTCTTGTTTTGAGAGAGGAACTTCGCTGCGAAACTTTCACATCTAAACAAATGAGTGATACATCTTGTAGTAATTTAAGTTGCAAAAAAAATTTAATAATTATATATGATAAACGATTTTATGATTAAATTTGATACTAAGCACTATCATAATCCTTAATTGACGAAGATTGATTCGATTATCCTATAAGAAAATCCTATAAAGTGCATTCGCTCTAGTTGTTAATTTATGCTGAAACGTAGAACTTGACGACCCAACCGGGCAAACATCGATATATCATTGCGAAAGACATCCATTAACGTTGACGTTAGTTTTAAAGCTGCACCTTCTTTATAAAGTTCGGTGAACTTATTCTAAAATATTTAGCAACAACTAACTACAAAGAAAATATTATTCTCGTTAAAAAAGAGATTATGTTTCACCCTCAACTAATTAAACAATAATTTAAGTTTAATAAGGCGTTAACTTAAAATAATGTTCAAAAATGTTTCAAGTTACAAGTTAAACAAACAGTGATTCCTGAGAGTCTGAATTTTTAAAAATGAAACAGAGGATGTAGAATTTCCCGCGATGAAATCGTAATTGAAAATGTCAATCATCAAGAAATTGCTAGCTATTAGCTTGAAAGTTTGAAGGATAAATGTGAATTTGAGTCCTTGTCCCGGTTACATGAAGGATTAAATCTTTTTGAATTAATATTTGTAAATAGATACTTTACAATTAATCATTATTGGGTTCCACATCATTCAGATTTTATAGGGTTCAAAAAGGTTATTTACGGCCCGCGACCCTTATTAGCCAACTTTTCTTTTCATTGAGAATTGAAATTTCCAGAAAAACTTTTCAATTTTAAGTTACGTTTGTTTATTCACTGAATTAACCCGGTTTACGATCGTTTCATGCGAAACTTTTTAATCCGTCCACTTCAAATATTTACAGCAGTAAAGTACGCGCGATTAATATTGATTTATTTACTTATTTTATAATAAATTTAAAGTGATTACTACTGTTTTCGTTGAATTTCAAGAAATAAATTCATTTAATTTTTGAAATTACAGATAAACTTTGTGAGAAATCTAAAGAACCACGCTGTATGTAAACTTTTGTCTTTCACTGTATATACGCTCAAAAAAATAGGTGTAGGGTAGAAATAAGAATTATTAATCGATATTTTAAAAACATCGAAGTGTATCATAACAACATCAGTATTTTTAAATCGTTTATTAAAAAAGTTAATGTGATAATTAAAATTTATTTGCAAATTTTTATCGCCCTCTAGTAGAAGTTGTATTAACTAGAATCTAGTTAATAAAATGTGGCAGGAATCTGTAATTGTGTAATAAATCCAAATAATTCACTGTTTAGCGTTTTGTTTACCTGTTTTTTATGGTATTGCTATTGCGTATTACTCATCTTCTATAAGACTAGCTTTATCCAAAAGTAGAGGCTGTATTTTAATAAATTATCTTCTAAAATCGTATAATGTAATTTGTTTAAACGTGAACCAGAAAATCTCTATATCACCACTACACATTGTGGTCCTTCTTGAGACAACTAAAACCGTTTAACTGCCAATTAAAAAAGAGATTAAAATGTTAATCGTATTTAAGTAAGTTCTTTATAAATTTAATTATTAAATGATTTTAGTACATATCTCGCGTTCTAACCTTAAAGTATTGTTTCCGATGGCATTATAATCGAAATCAAAGTATTTATAGACGTACACACCAACATTAACACCACATATTTGCACATTATAACTCGAATAACCTTATTAAATGTCAAACTGACACATCATTTGATTTTGACAGATATTTGCAATGAAATTCGTACAAAGTCCGTTTTACATACAACAAACTAAAAGTGGTTATTTTCCATTTAGAATTTTAGGTTTATTTATTTATTTAATAAATAAAAATTAACAAATCTTGTTTATTTATTTTATTTTTATATTTAGCTGGTTGTTTTTTTTTAAGTATTTGATTTATTTTAAATTGAAAGAAATTTTCGTTTGTATATTGTTCTTGTTTTGAACTGTCATTTAAGTGACGTATGATTTAGAATAATTGAGGTTGACAAGTTATGTTTTTTATTTGTTGTAAAATATAATAATGTGAACAAAACCAAACCCTCCGCCACCATATCCCGGGCCAAACCCCATTCAACCAGGTATTTTTCTTTTTGTTTAATATGTTCAACGCACATTATTTAATATTATTCGTAACCACATTGATATACAAGTATAGGTTAGGATGCAATAAAGGAATAGATTTCATCATAAAATAGTAAGCAAATTCAATTATTATTAACGACAAAATGAAACTTCCACTCATAAATAACTTACTTACATATGTTCGTGATCTAGATAATATCAAAATACGTAACGCAACATTAATTATTATCTTCCATAAAAAGCCATGAACTGTGGTGTTCTTTGTCGAGACAATTTGATAATTAATAGTTAATTTACTAGCCCATTTGTCGTGAATGGATATCGTTTAATTGCATCTTTTATAATATAAACCCACTCACAATGGAATACAATAGATACTATGCTAACGTTTTAACGCAGTTCTATTCATTCATGCGTGCAATATTTACTAGTTGTTTCATTCATCATGATTAATAGGTTTCAATTAAGTAATTTAGACGCGAATCAATACTTACGTAATTGTTTATTTAATTTAAATTTTGAGTTTCAATTTTAAAAGCTCCCAGAAAATGGATTCTATTCGTTATTATGTCAGTGCATATATGTATAAAGCTCCGCACCCATAATTTACATAAATCCATGTAAATTAGCAGCATTATAATGAACCCCAACTAAATCTATTAACATTATTTGATATAGATTTAGAGTAACAAAAAATCCCACTACGTGGCAACGAAAGAAAAAGCCCTCATAAAAAAGGAAAAATAAAGCTGTCAATGTAACGAGAAAATAAGGGCGTACATAAATACTTGACGATCTTCATTCGATCCCGATGAAATGGTTTCGAAAAGCTTTTATGTTTTTACGAAGGCGTGGATATAAAGAGATTTCATTTATCTATATTATCCCAAAATAAAGATAAAAAATAATGATGTTAACATTTTTTATCCTTTCGTTTCCTGTTTTCTAATAACTTAATCAATTCTTTTGTGGATATTTTATGATTCCCTAAAGACAACAAAGTCTCTAGAATTCTCCGGAATAATTTGCATTCGCGCCACTATTCAATCTAGTTAATTAATGAACACGGATGTGTACACCGTTCAATTTGCAATTTTATGTTACCTTATTTGAAACTAATTTAGAAATTTTTGTTGTTTTATACATCTGGTGTTAAGCAATATTGCGAGAATCCGTTCGAAATGGAGAAGCGCAACTCACCATTTAATTAAGAAATATACCAAGTTGGTTTTAGAGCGACATTAACCGGACTTTATTTGTTGAAAATCTCTTTTCTAGGAAAGTAATTTTAAAGCAACTAAATTTAGTTGAGCAAGTTAATATTATAATTTGTAAGGAATTCTTACCTAATGCAGTTTTTGTTCTTACGTTCCTTGAATAACCCATTGGATGTAAAATAGCCCAATATCTATCGACGGATACAGCGACGAGACAAAATATCGAAATTGTACAAAGCACGACGAGTAAGGAAACGGTGAATAAGCAAGCGTAAAGATTCGCTGGTAATCCAACAGAAGCCAAGATGGCAAATGGGATTCCTAAAAGGCCGACTAAAAAATCGGCTGCTGCCAATGAAACGATGTAATAATTAGTCCTCCTTCTTAATTTTCGCTCCCTTCTAAAAACCAATATGACCATAGCGTTACCGACAACCGCAAAAACAGCGACGAGAACCTCGCAGATCATATAGTACAAATTCAACTTTCCGTTATCTGTTTCATGTACTTTTGTTGTGTTTATGGTATCAACCATTTTTAGGGGAAATCTTTCGATTTCTCTAAATCGCTTTATTAATTTAATTCATCCTAGTTCTTGTGATTTTATTATGATTTTTATTCTTTCTTGAACAGCCATCTGAAATTAAAAAAGAATAATAAAAATTCAAAAACCCAAAACTGAAATATCTATTTATTAATATAACAATATATTATCGCATTTTATCGACTTTATTTGCTACCCAATATTAGTATTAACATTGACACTGTGGCGGTTAATAACCTGATGCCAGGAATTCTAATCGTGCGAATTGCACGCGTTCCCAAATCCCCATCAATCAACACGAATCGTTCAAATTTCGATAGAATTTCCATCAGACAATAACTTGCGTATCTCATTTGATGAAGCAAATATTATGAATTGACCGAGGTGGCGAGATTTTGTGCGTGTTGTAAACATGACCCACATTTTATAAATTTGGTTCATGCCAAAACAGTTGTTTCCCGATTATTCAACGTTTTCATAATCTTAATAACATAATAATCACCGGATTTTATCGATAAGTAATAATCATGGTTGTATTATCCATGGTTGAGGTTAATATTTTTTTTGTACTTAAATGTATTATGTTCAAAAAATATATTACAAGTGGTATGTATAAAATATTTTTTTTTACAGTGTTTTCAAATAAATATTTAGGTATCGATTTATTCAATGTTATACAGGTGATTTATAACATACGGAGCAGACTAAAAGGTAGGTACTAGGAACCAAATTGAAGATATTTTCTTAATAATGTTTTGACCACAACTTAATAATCACAAATATATAGAACGTTAAAGTTGAATTAATGGCCGAGCATTTCTTATCATATACGGTATTACACTACGTTTAGATTCAAACTGCGAATATTTTGGGGTTACTTAAACAATGTATAATTAACAAAAATAATAAAATGTTTGTAATATAGCAGTTACGGCTATTTAAAAATTTGTTAAAACGCTCAAACGGTGTTGTTTGTTTCTTGAGAACCGCTAATACCATATTTTTATTACTGCCAATCCAGTTGATTTGGTTACTTAGCAGCCGACAAGTATTTTAATTATTCTTTACTGAATGTTAGCGATTCCCAAAAATTGACGTTAAATTATTTAAAAATCTATGTAACTATTAAGTTTTTAACAAAACATTATTAAAAAATCTCTTCAGTTTTACCTCTAGTACCTACCCCTTTAGTCTGCACCGTATGTTATAAATCACCCTGTATACATATATTATTAGATATTATTCGTTCGTATTGTTATTATACAGGCTGTCCCGAAATGACGTGTACAACGCAAGACCACAAGTACCTTGACTAAAAATATGATGAGTTAAGTCAACTTATCGGCTAAATACAGGGTGTCCGGAAATGACGTACTGAGAGATATGAACTGAAGATAAAACTAGAGCTAACACTAGACCCAGAACTAGAAATTTTCGGATTGATTTGGGTTGGGTTGCAACCTTCTTCAGAAAACACTTTAAACTTGTTTCTGAAGAAAATTGAAACCCAACCCAACAAGTCCAAACTAGAAACATACTGGTTGGGTTGGCTTACAGCTTTCTTCGGAAAATACTTCGAACTTGTTTCTGAAGAAAGTTGCAATCCAATCCAACTCGAAACTATAATCTAATCTTCTTCACAAGCAAGTTCGAAGAGTTTTCTGAAGAAAGAAAAAACATACGGGTTGTGTTGGGTTGCAACCTTCTTCAGAAAACACTTCGAACTTCATTCTGAAGAAAACGGAAACCCAACCCAACTCGAAACTAGAAATATACTGGTTGGGTTAGGTTTTATTCTAAATTACAGTTTATTTATCAATAGATATTGAATATTAATGATTATTTATGGACAAATTATCCGACCTTTGCATGGTACAACATTTTACAATTAAGATTTTCGCTGTAGAATCGAACGAAGAATGTCGTGTTTTCTGAACCAACCTGTTGAGTTGCAACCCAACCTAACCTGTATGTTTTTTAGTTTTGGGTTGGGTAGAGTTGCAGCAACCAAACCCAAAACTGTATGTTTCCTGTATGTTTTTTAGTTTTGGGTTGGGTTGCTGCAACTCAACCTAACCTGTATGTTTTTTAGTTTTGGGTTGGGTTGCTGCAACTCAACCCAACCCAAAACTAAAAAACATACAGGTTAGGTTGGGTTGCAACTCAACAAAATGAATTGCAAAATTAGCTTTGCAACCTTTTTCAAAAACAAATTCGAAGTGTTTTCTGAAGAGAGTTGCAACCCAACCTAACCTGTATGTTTTTTAATTTTGGGTTAAGTTGCAGCAACCCAACCCAAAACAACACTTCGAATTTGTTTTTTGTTGAGTTGCAGCAACCCAACCCAAAACTAAAAAACATACAGGTTGGGTTGCAACTCAACAAAATGGGTTGCAAAATTAACTTTGCAACCTTTTTCAAAAACAAATTCGAAGTGTTTTCTGAAGAGAGTTGCAACCCAACCTAACCTGTATGTTTTTTAGTTTTGGGTTAAGTTGCAGCAACCCAACCCAAAACAACACTTCGAATTTGTTTTTTGTTGAGTTGCAGCAACCCAACCCAAAACTAAAAAACATACAGGTTGGGTTGCAACTCAACAAAATGGGTTGCAAAATTAACTTTGCAACCTTTTTCAAAAACAAATTCGAAGTGTTTTCTGAAGAGAGTTGCAACCCAACCTAACCTGTATGTTTTTTAGTTTTGGGTTGGGTTGCTGCAACTCAACAAAAAACAAATTCGAAGTGTTGTTTTGGGTTGGGTTGCTGCAACTCAACCCAAAACTAAAAAACATACAGGTTAGGTTGGGTTGCAACTCTCTTCAGAAAACACTTCGAATTTGTTTTTGAAAAAGGTTGCAAAGTTAATTTTGCAACCCATTTTGTTGAGTTGCAACCTAACCTGTATGGTTTTTAGTTTTGGGTTGGATTGAGTTGCAGCAACCCAACCCAAAACTAAAAAACATACAGGTTACGTTGAGTTGCAGCAACCCATCCCAAAACTAAAAAACATACAGGTTAGGTTGGGTTGCAACTCAACAGGTTGGTTCAGAAAACACGACATTCTTCGTTCGATTCTAAAGCGAAAATTTTAATTGTAAAATGTTGTACCATGCTTCAGAAAACACTTCGAATTTGTTTTTGAAAAAGGCTGCAAAGTTAATTTCGGGTTGGGTTGGGTTGCAACATTCTTCAAACACAAGTTCGAAGTATTTTTTGAAGAAGGTAGCAATCCAATCCAGCCCGAAACTAGTTTCATACGGGTTGGGTTTACTGAAGTGTTTACTGAAGAAGGCTGCAACTCAACCCAACTCAAAACTAATAAACATATGGATTGGGTTGCAACTCTCTTCAGAAAACATTTAGAACTTGTTTCTGAAGAAGGTTGTAGCTCAGAATGTATGCTGTTGGAATCATCAATAAATATAGCACAACTTTTAAAAAATAAAAACACAAGATATTATTACTGAACATAACCTCAAAAATGATGAAAAACCTGATGAGTGAACAAACTGATAACTAAATAATGCCTCGGAATGGACGGAACTGATACTATGAAGACTATTAATACTTTATTAACAAGTATATCAAAAGCTTTTGTATGGTAATATCACCATCATTAGTTTACGCACTGCATCGTAATAATTTTAATCAAGGCCGTATAGCAACTATATCCACTATTAAAACCAGAGAGTGTTTGCGCTAACATGATTCCCCTCAATAAATGCAATTTGTCTCCAGAATGACTCCACTATTTGCATATGTATATGTATTCACCAACAACTAATACAAATTCCAATACCAACGGATACAAGTTTAGTTGCCCAATTTTTATGTTATATACTTCTTTGTTATTCCACAAATAAAGGTTATCATTATTATTATTCACGAGCTTTATAACATTGAAAAATTGTTTTATATAGTCTTCATTCGATCGTGAATTTGAAAAAGTTTACTTGAACGGAAAATTGCTAAAGGCTGTTTTATGGGGACCGCGATATTCGCAATACAGGTCACTTCACGTTATTGAAAAGAAAACAAAAATAATAGAAGTAGAGACTTTTAGACGAGTAATATTTAAGATTGTGCAATAAATGCAAATACGTAAAACATGTTGTGTTGTCATTAATGTCGAACAGCAACTAGTGAATTCGAGTACCACTCAAAATTTTATTGGTCATCACCGTTTTCGCGCGTTCCACTTGACCCTAAATCTTTATTACATATTTTCACATCAACAGTCATAATTTTTGCTATATATATCGCATTTGGAGAACCATAAAATGATTTACGACTAAAAACCGTTATTATATTAAAGATGTATAACATAGTATCCAATAAAATTGTATCAACAAGTATTTAAAAAATTAATTAAGATTTCTTAAGAACACTAAATGTGTATCACAATTCTTAATATAGTGTTTTTTGCTTGAAAATTTTTTCAATATTATATAAAAGATGGCCCTAAAACCAATTTCTTCTTCTATATTGCTTCATCCATCTTTAATATCCACTTAGCAAACTAATCCTATAATTTTCAACATTTCTCTTATCACCCTTTTATGAATCAGGGTTACATTTTACATTACATAGAATACATATCGGGTAGGCGGACCAACCAACCTTGCACCGCGACCCTAAGGATCTATTGTACCCCGATAGATATCATTATCAAATTTCACCGTGCAGTCCAATGCTCTTAACGAACATTAATACCTTGCTCGGCGAAAGGTCATTCAGATCTTTTGAGGAGATAAACTGCGACCCAAAAATCGAGAATCTGATACGGTTAACGGCAGGGCAGTGGCATAAAACATGCTCAACCGTCTCTGCTTCCTCCGCACATAGTCGGCATTCAACATCGTCGGCTAAACCCAACAAGTTGAGGTGTGCTTTTAATCGGCAGTGCCCAGTAAAAACACCCATTAGAACTTTTATGCTACTACGGGCAAGTCCTAAAATATTCCCGGGTTTGACAGTGGCGATGTTAATAAACACCTTAGCATGTCTCATTCCAGGAGAACTGGTCCACAGTAGGCGAAGTCTCTCTTCAGCCCACAGTCCAATCCTATATTTGGCCATCGCAAATGATACACC